TCAAAAATATAAAGTATTTTTAATTAAATCTTACCTTTCAATAAAGTAATTATCTACTTTCAAACTAACCCTATCTTTTTATATTTACTCCTATTAAACACCCTATAATAAATATAAAGTCACTATCAATAGGAGCATTTAAAAAAAAAGACAATTATTACACTTTAAAAGGCTAAAAATGTCTTATATTTTTAAATATTCAATTCCTTAAAAAATACTTTATATTTTTAAACGGAGGAAGTACATAATATAAAACAAAAGTTGGGCGAATGAATATCAATAACAAATAAAAAAAATGCCCCATATAATATAGTATAGCTTACTAATATATGTCGTATATATGTAAATTTTAACATTCTAAGTTTTGTAAGATTAGTTTCTCCGACTAGGTTTAAAGAACTGCGTCTTCAAAGTTTCTTAGGTTTAAAAGGGGGAAATGGCCGTTTGTGATGGACTACAAAACATAAAGGATTTCCGATCTACTAATTAAAATAACTTTCAAGAAATTATTTGAGGTTGATTATTTAGTGTTTTAATGATTATGGTTGTTGGATTTTCATGAGCTGATATTAATGTTGGCAAGCCTTAGATTCTAGAATTGGGTATTTGTGTCTAAATGATGTTTTGCGCTGAAATTGATTGATATTTAGTTTTTGGTGATTTGATTAGTCTATCTAAGAATGAATATATAGCCTTGGAAAAGAGATTTATATAATGTTCTAATTTTGGAAATTATTCTATGCGAATTTCTTCTCTTGGGACAAAAAAAAAATTGTATTTTGAGGTTGTAAATTTAAATTGCTTGATATAGGGCTGCACAAAGAATTAGATAACATTGAACTTTAGTCTAACTCAAAATTTGATCTTTTTTATGAAAAGGATTGGGTTTGGCAACCCATAGTTCAACCTTGTCCAGTAATAACTGAAAAATTAACAAGACTAAACTTGGTCTATAAGACTGAAAGATAGGTCTTGTTAGTTCAGTGCTCAATTAACTATTTTTTTTCTTTTTCTCTGTGAAAGGCAATAATCCATTTCAATCTAATAAGTTCAATTAAGATAATAAAATCACTTATAATCATAATAAATTCAAAATAATTTCTAGCAATAAAAAAATATAATTACAGTCCAAATGATTTAAATTTATAACTTCAACAAAAACAACATCCAGCAAATTTTAACAACACTACATTACAGTCACAATTTAAAAACAAACTTAACAAATATTCATGCAATTATTTTCTTACCCTCAATTGCACTTGAAACATTTATCAAAAATAAATTAATTATAATTATATTAAATAAATTAATAGGACTGGACCGGACTAAGTGGTCCAGATACCTAGTCTCCTATCCAGTCCAATTTAAAAAAATAGTTTGATCTTTTGAATCTTTTTAATTTTGAAGGATTAATGTTTATAAAGACTGAATAGAACAGAATCATCTTAAATTGAATTAAGTTAAACCAAAGGGAAGACTTTTTCAAAAGCCCTAACTTGATATATGCGTGTCTATATCATATTTTATATCAATATGTGCCAATACTTTTTGAGTACACATCTAAAAAGTATCAAAACATTAATTTTTTTTTTTTTTTGACGTATATCCAATGGTTCTAAGCTCTGCATCAATATATCAAAACCAATATTTTAAAGCTTTTTTTTTTAAGAAATCAAATTTTGTTCAAGATTGCAATAGCAATTTTTCATTCCTAATATATATTTATCATTTTCTTTTAAAATAAAATTTTAGATTTCTTTAGAAAATATATTTCTTATCTTTCTAAAAATAAAACTAGCTTATGAATTTTTTTATTTTATTTCTGTATCTTCCATATAATATGAGTAAACTATTATTTAAAACAAACACATTGATTTCTCTTAGAAAATAAGTTTTGGATATAATAAAATATAAATATTATATTTTCTTAACTAGAAAAAACTTATAAATCAATGAAGCTTTTTTTGGGCATAAAAGATACTAAGAAAAAATTTTCCATTTTCCACCTAATAATAAATATTATGTTTTATTGAATATTATGAAAATATATATAACACTAAGCTAGTTTAAATATTTCTCGAATTGTCAACTATGCCGTGGTTTCATGCCGTTGCAACAAGTTTCTTATGAATTCCAAATCATTCTCAAAAAGGATTACACGTGGGTTGGCGATATGGCTACACTTGGCCACTGAGAGGCCCTTTTTCACTATATATATAAATCTTGAATTGCAATTATATTTTTAATATGTTTAATGATTATTCATATATATATATATATATATATATAATTTGTCGTATAAATATTTTAAATTAAAAAAACAAAGTATTAAAAAATCAAACATTTTCACGTATGGTAGGATCTGCACAACGAAGCTTTAGAGCGTAATTTTAGTCAAAAGAATTGTAGTGTGTATTATATAATATAATATATATATGTATGTATGTATGTATTATAGCTAGCGTGTACATATATATTTTTTGATAAAATATAAAGTTTATGTGTATAATATTATGGAAATTCACAAGTGGAGATTTGGAGAATTCGTTTGGGCAAAAAAAAAAAAAAACGGATTTGGAGAATTCAACGCTTTCGGGTCTATCGAACCTGGACTGAAACACCGAACCCATTCATTTTGGTATTCGCATTTCTAATAAATACTACCTCAATGTTTTTTTTTTAATCTCAAAAATACAGCCTCCATCAATATATTGAAAATTGAAGGGTCATTCAACGTTAAGCAAGCTACAAGTTCAAAAGTAAATAGTTAAAATCATTCAGTAGTGATGAACAAATATTTAATTAAGTAGGTAAATATACTATATTAATGGTTTATTAGTTTAATTAACCGTGTCAATCTTAATTTCAAGTCAAGGTCAAGCCTTGCCTTGCTATGCTCTCTTTTTTTTTTAAAAAATAATTATTTTATAGCATTACTTTTCTATGCATTTTGGAAAAAAAAATATGCAAATCCTTATAGCACTTTCCATTAATTTTGAATTAAGTTTATTATAATTTATTTTGTTTGAATTAAGCCTTTATAATTTTAGTTTTTAGAATTGCTAATTCTTGAGGGTTTAAATTCTTGAATTTTTGAAATTAAATTAAGCACTTGTATATTTTTATTTAAACATTATAAAATTTTAGAATTAATTACATAATTTTATAACTCAAATTTTATATCGTTAGGTTATATCCTCTAAATAAATTTTATAAATATAAACATTTTTCATAAAAAAATTAGTAAAAATATAAACACTTTATAGAATTATTTTTTTCAAAAGTATTGAGTAAAATTTTCTATAAAATTTTAATTTTTTGAAAAAATTAATCATTTATTATTTTTAACTTTCATGAATCAATATATATAATTGAAAAAATTAAAAGAAATTGATTCAAATAAAATAAAAAACATAAATAAATTTAAATTAAATATATATATACACATACGTGCGCATAAATTTTTCCTAATATTTTATGTAATATATTCGCCCTTTAATTTTTCCTGATTTTTATGTAATATATTGTTTTTAGAGAGAATGACACTTAAGGTTATTTTAAGGGAACTTATTGCAATAAGATTTCATTAGTTTTACATCCTATATTATCTTGTAATAATACGTATATGTTATTATTAAAAAAAATATAAGTTAAGATTCAGTTTTTAATAACAAAATATATATTTTCATAAGACAATTTCAATGCAAAATTAATGGCCTTTTATTGTAATAAATTTTTTGAGGGGGCCTTAAATATCATTCTGCCTTGCTTTTATGATTATCATGATCATTTTTTATAATTTTATTTTTTAAAATTTTAAATTAATTTTTTAAGGTTCTATTATGTAAAAATAATGAATAACTGTTAAGTATATTTAATTTAGAAAATCATTAGTTTAATATTAATGTTATTTTTATAAAAATATATTTTAACTAATTATAATTTTTTGACTAACAAGTTATTATCATACTTTTTAAAATATTGTTAAAAATTATTTTTAGTTGGCCAACTCAATTGTATTGTGTATTTGAATTTAGTGAATAATACAAATTTATTTATTCAATGAATGTCTAATAAAAACAATTATTTAATTAAATGACTGTTAAAAATTTTATTGTATAATATTCACCAAATATCACATTTTTGAATGGAAAAGTAAATTGATAACTTGTTTTGTATTTTTTTTTAAAAATATTTTAATAATTTTTAAATATTAATAAAATTCAACATAACAATAAACTCATTCAACCGAATCCAAATTCCCGGTCTCCAGTCTATTCTATACTGTACCCTTTTTCATTCTAAAAGCTCTCCGAAACTACTGGTACGATTACAGTTATAATACAACTTGTCTTCTGTTCATATCATTTCGCTGTTTCGTTAATCATGAATTAACTTTTTTCTTTGGTGGGATATTACATGCTCGGTGCTTCCATCTTCATATACTCCAAGCTGGTATACTGTTAACAGAAAAGTCACCGATGGTTTTGCGTCAGACTGATTGTCAAACTTTGGATGAATCGTTGATTATGCTTGGATAGTTTGTGTTTTTCTTTGTCTTCAATTCGTTTCAGAGCAAGATTCTTTTTTATAATACAGTCAGACGCATGCAAGATTCTAAACTTTACAATAAATTATTGAGTAATTTTCCACCTCACTTTGAAAGAGACGTAAAAGTACAATATCTTTTTGTTTGATTTGAACTTGATTACCACAAAAATCCAATTAAGATCCTTCTTCTTTCCTTTTGGTCAAAAAATCCCCAATTGTTTTGCCACTTTTCGGCTTTTCCTCCTAATCTTCTTGATCTGTGACTGTGAATCTTCAGATTTTCACTTTCTTTTTCCTTGTCTCTCTATTGCGTGCGCTTCAGTTGATGAAGCCGTAATGTATGATCAACTTGATTTTTGACATTTTGCAATACGCAAGCTATTAAAAATTGATTTGACTTTGGCAATGTGCAACATGTTATTTTTTATATTAACACTCGCATGTCAAAATGTGTAGAGACTGAAATTCCAAGTCCGTTATATCCCAGCCCCCTCTCTATATAATGAGCAAGAACCTTGTGCAGTAAAGTGCAAGTTCGTTGGGTTATCTACTGTTTATTTCAGTATATTCTTGTCTAATTGAGATTGAGGTACTCTTATGATTCCTTTCTAATCGAGACTGGGTATCATAGATCTCTACTAACGGCAAGTTACTCCTTTTCATAATTTTGTGAGTTGCAGGTTGTTGCTAGTGATCTCTGGGCTCAATGAGTCACCGTGTTAGCGACGATGTTGTGGACAGGGTCACAGAGGAAATCCGAAGTGGGCATTCTTCTCGTCGACATGTGCCATATATTTACAAGGTGGGAGCTCCTCCTAAGCAAAGTCTTCTCAAAGAGATCAAAGATTCTCTGATGGAAACTTTCTTTTCAGACAAGCCCTTAAGCCACTTCAAGGACCAACCTGCATCCAGAAAATTTGTTCTTGGCCTGCAAGCAGTTTTCCCAATTCTTGAATGGGCAAGAGGCTATAATCTTAGTAAATTTAAAGGGGATCTCGTTGGTGGACTTACCATTGCAAGTCTCTGTATTCCTCAGGTAAGTATTGCTCCATTAGGATGTTACCATGCACAAAAGGAAAAAAAAATACACTGGCATATGCTTTTGGAATGACATATGAATTCACAACAGGATATTGCATATGCAAAGCTGGCAAATTTGAAACCTCAATATGGACTGTGTAAGTATTTTGATTTTATAACATTTTAGTTCTTCAGGACATATATCCCAGCTTCGTGTGGCTTCATGTATGTGCAGACACCAGCTTTGTGGCTCCTCTTGTCTATGCTTTCATGGGAAGCTCCAGAGATATAGCCATAGGACCAGTGGCTGTGGTATCCCTTTTACTTGGGACCATGCTGACGGATGAGATTAGTAACTACAAAAGTCATGACTATCTTCGTCTTGCATTTACTGCCACCTTTTTTGCAGGAATCACTCAACTGGCACTTGGAGTTCTCAGGTACACCCTTGGCACTGTACATGACCCAAATACATTCTTCTTTCTTGATCTGTCTGAATTCTGGTTAAAAAGACACCTCAACTCTAAAGTTTGAACTTTTTGATGAAGGCTAAGAATATTAATTTTTTATTTCAATTCCCACTCACAAAAGCCCTTTGAACTTTAAGTGTGGAAACTTAATTTTGTTTATTCTTCCTTTTTGGATGAGGACATGATCACGGAACCTCTAGTACTATTTAAAGAATCACTTCAATTTAAAAGCCTAGGCTAGCTTTTGAACATCTATAACAACTCTAAGCATGTCTGGTACTGCAATCTATGACAACTTTGCAGGCTTGGTTTCTTGATTGACTTCTTATCTCACGCTGCCATTGTGGGCTTCATGGCTGGAGCTGCTGTTACTATAGCCTTGCAGCAGCTTAAAGGATTGCTTGGCATAAAAAAGCTTCACCAAGAAGACTGACATAATTTCTGTCATGCGCTCAGTTTGGACAAACGTGCACCATGGGGTACCTACTAAAGCTTTGATTTTCCTTTCTCTGGGTATACGAGGAAAAGACAACTAGAAGCTCACAAGCATTATATTTACAATTTCTTCTATTCTTACAGTGGAATTGGCAGACAATAGTCATTGGATTAGCATTCTTGGCTTTCCTCCTTGCAACTAAGTATCTGGTAAGAATGCTATTGATTGACCTTTCCATAAATTCTCCCATTACAATTTACTGAACTGTTATTTTGTAATAATGACAGGCTAAAAAGAAGAAGAAACTCTTTTGGGTGTCTGCACTTGCTCCTTTGGTGTCTGTTATACTGTCCACCTTTTTTGTCTGCATTACTCGTGCTGACAAGGAAGGTGTTGCAATTGTGAGTAACATCAAATTGACTTTTCTATCATAGGTTTAAAAAAGTCATCAACTTTAGAGCTCAAAATATGCTATTTCAGGTGACCCACATAGAAAAGGGAGTGAATCCATCATCTGTTAGTGAAATCTTTTTCAGCGGAAAATATCTTGGCCCTGGTATTCGGATTGGTGTGGTATCTGGTTTGATTGCACTCACGGTATGCTAATTCTACACATAACTAGTGATTCCTAGCCTCAACAGAACTTTCTTTAACATATTCGAAACCAACTTTATTGAATTGTAGGAAGCTGTAGCAATTGGGAGAACGTTTGCTGCTATGAAAGATTATCCTTTGGATGGTAACAAAGAAATGGTGGCAATGGGAACAATGAATATTGTTGGTTCCCTCACATCTTGCTATGTAGCAACAGGTGCAAAGGATCGAACACCAAAGAAGCAAAAACTCTATTATCTAATATATTGTTCGAGCCTCTCCTATGAAGGAGACCTTCTTAGTATTGAATAGATCTTGAAACCATTTCTGTTGTTCATGCAGGATCTTTTTCACGCTCAGCAGTGAACTACATGGCTGGCTGTCAAACTGCTGTATCAAACATCGTTATGTCCATTGTTGTGTTATTAACCTTGGTGTTCATTACACCACTGTTTAAGTACACCCCAAATGCAGTGCTTGCTTCTATTATAATAGCGGCTGTGGTAAGCCTTGTTGACATTGATGCGGTCATTCTGCTATGGAAGATTGACAAATTTGATTTTCTAGCCTGCATGGGAGCCTTCTTTGGTGTGATCTTCAAAAATGTTGAGATTGGCCTTCTTATTGCGGTAAAAAGAAATTGAAAGAAAAATTTTAAAATTCTGGTTTTTTCATATCTTGAAAGCATTTTATGAACTCATGTTTTGCAGGTGGCCATATCATTTGCTAAAATCCTTTTACAAGTGACAAGGCCGAGGACTGTGGTACTTGGGAAACTTCCAGGGACCACTGTGTACAGGAACATCAATCAGTACCCAAATGCTGCACAAATTCCCCGAATACTGATTATTAGAGTTGACTCTGCCATCTACTTCTCAAACTCCAACTATATCAAGGACAGGTGATTAATTGAACTTCCGGTCCCATATAATCTGGAAACCACTAGGTGTTGTTTAGTAGTTGAGTGTATTAACTATATGAAGTCTTAGGTTTAGAGTCCAGACCTTAATTCTATAAAAGAGTTGGTGGGGGGAACGTTCTACATAACTTCAAAAAGTAATGACAAGTTGCAATTATATGTGTAAATTTAAGAATCATGAGCTGTCAGTTTCGAACTATTATTACCAATAAATTAGCTACTGAGTGGGAACCTACAGAAATCTAATGATTTTACTCACTGTGTACAATGCATAATCTGAGTTTGTAGAAACCCCCCCCCCCCCAAAAAAAAAGGAAAAAAAAAACAAAAATACCTGATGTCTATAATCCAATCAAAACTTGCAGAATTCTGAGATGGCTGCAAGATGAAGATGAGCGAAGGAAAGGAAGTTGTTTACCGACAATACAATATGTGCTTATTGAAATGTCACGTAAGGCTTTGCAGTTAGATTATTTGATATTGATTATTAACCTTGAAAATGTTCTCATTTATGGAACTGTATTCCTGCAGCTGTTACTGACATTGACACTAGCGGCATCCATGCCTTTGAAGATTTGTACAAGAGCCTTCTGAAGAGAGAGGTCCAGGTAATACATAATCACAGAACTCAACATTTTTTGCATCTACAAAATTTGCTGTGTAAAACTCTTCTGAAGGTAATACTGTGTGCAGATGTCTTAACTCTTTATAATGACAATAAATATCAAGGAACACCAGTGGGCGTGTATCTTCAAATTCAGAACCAAATGAATTGCTTATTCGCAAATAACCTCATCTATAAATAGAGCTGGGAATTCGGGTGGGCCAAACCTATTCGGGCTCGGCCCGAATAAGCCCAACCTGAATAGGCCCGACTCCCTTAGAAGCTTGAATAGCCAAGCCCAGCCCGAATTCCTTCAGGCTTCGGGCGGCCCAAATACCCAAATTTATATTTTAAAAATCATTTTTAATTAATTTTTCACTTTAAAATTAATTATTTTATTTTGTAAAAAATATAAAATATATTTTTTGATACTTAAATAATGTATAGGACTTAAATATATGGTATTTTTGTATAAAATAACTTAAAATTTAATTAATTATTAATATTTATCATATTTAATATATTTTGTAAAAATAAAGTATTTTTATTTGGGTATTCGAGCCAAGCCCGAACCCGATCAGGCTTGACCCGAATTGTCTCGGGCCTATTCGGGCTAGCTTGAATAGTCCCGAACATAAAAAACTTATATTTTTTTAAGCCTGACTCTCACTTTTTTCGAGCGGGTTCAGGCTAACCCGTTGGGCTCGGCCCAAATTATCGGCTCTATCTATAATGATTATATGCACTTCTAGAGATCATAGCACAACACTATTTCTAGGTTTTTTTTTATTTTATTGAAAAGCTTGAGTTCTAGGATGAATTAGTTCTGAAATTGGTATTAGACCAAATGATCAAGACTAGGAGTTACATGAAGTACGTTGTGCCTATTTTTCACTAATTAATAACTCATGATTATTCAAGCCTAAGAATATTTTATGTGAGAAAACAATCTTTATATTGATTTTATTGTGATATGATATTCATCTCTGGCATTCTCACAGCTTCTGTTGGCAAATCCTGGGCCAATTGTAATGGAGAAGCTCTATGAATCCGAGTTAGCGAACATGATTGGGGAAGACAAGATATTTCTATCAGTGGCTGATGCTGTTGCAACTTTTCGTTCAAAAGCTGAAGAACAAGTATGATAGGTTCATATTTGACAGTATGATTCTATTCATAAGGTGTCAATAGTTGCTCGAGAGATTAGCTGTAAATAGTGTTTCATGATTACTTGGTCAACCATATAGTCCAGGTCCTTCCCATGTAGCATATGCTGTAGTCTTCTTTTGTTATTTCGCTTTCTTTTTCCAAAAGATGTGTACATTCATGGGACTCAAAAGGAAGATCATGCATTAAGGTTCATGTAATATTTGTTCTGTTTAACGTTTTGTATTTACTTTCTATAGTACCAGTTGGAGTGAAAGATAAAATAAGTTTGGGAATTTCCATTCTCTTTATTCTGGCTTATAGCTTGTATTCATCTCAATTGGTGGTTTTGGCAAAAAAGAAAATCTGAATTGGTGGAAGCACCAAAAAAAAAAAAAACCCTGGTAATGGGATTGAATCTGAAAATAAGGATTTAAATTCATGTTTGGTATGTGGGATTAAAAAAAAATAATAGGCAACAAAAATTAGTTAAAAGACCCAACTACCCTCATCTTCCTCCTTCTTCACTTCAACTTACATCTGCTCCATTTTCCTCATCTTCCTCCTTTTTAGCTTCATTCCTAATGCCTATAATCTCTCTCTCTCACATCCATGCTTGCGCTCAACACCACTGCAACTGTCCTTCACTCGAGTCTCTGCATCGTCGACGGTGGCCAACGAGCAATCCAGATCTGAGTGAATGATTCAGGCTCGTGATTCCGTATCTCCAAATCTGCTAGTTCTGGCGTCGCCTTTTTTCTTCGTCTTCCTAGTTCTAGCGTCGTTGTTGTGCCTGTGTGTGGTTGTGGGAAGCACGATGGATGATAGTGGCGGAGATGTGAGAGGTGAGGGGTGGAGGGTATAGGGAGAGACAACAGAGACGAGAGAGATGGAGGGTACTTTTGTCAAAAAATAATCAATCCCAAGATTGATTTTCCAATACCGGGGAGGTGGGTGGTATTGGGTAATCCCACCTAGATGGGTTGGGCTTGGGATTAAAATTCTTATTCCTTCATACCAAACATAAAAATTTGGGATTAATCAATGTCGATACCAATCTCACTTCCTCATTCCTTTATATCAAACAGGGCCTATGGGTTCACGCTATGATTTGTTAAATGATTCATTTATTTCATTGACACTTTCCTAATCATGTCTACGCGCAATCTCTGGCCATTAAATTCACATTTGGCCTGCTGATAAAGCAATCACCATAAAGGTTATATATCAGTGCTTGAACATGACAGAGGCCCCTCCCTCCCCCTGTGTCACACGCACTGTTGCACGCCTCTAGAATGGATCCGGCTAGTGTACTTAAGAGAGGTTCATAACAATATGCACATCTTTTTCTTAATTTTAAATTTTGATATGGCTATCTGACTTAATCAATTTAAGTATTATCAAATTAATTAATTGGGAGTAGTTTTATCAAAGGCATTTTTTTATTTATACAGACTCGAGCTCAAGACCTTGTATTTAAGTAGATATAGCTCTTTTTATGACCAATGTCTATTGGTTAAATATGTATTTTTAATTGCATAAGTTCCCTCCTTTTACTCTAATGTTACGAAAATTAGTCATTATTACTATTCTTATTCTACTACATGTCATGCAGTGTCGCAAAAATGCAAACTTAACAGTTACAAAAAATAGCATTATGCACTAGTGGATTAAGCTCAAGGATTAAAAAAAAAACGCATTTTTATGTGGCTTTTAAAATTTAAATATTAAGTTGTTAGTTAATGAGAAACTTATAATTATACAGGTCCCATTTGGTTGTTAAAAATGATAGAAATGAAATAGATTGAAAAAAATTAAAATAAAAATGAATTAAATCACTCTTTTTATTCTTGATAAATATGATAAAACTCAATATTATATACTACAAATGTGAAAAGCATTACACCCTCTAAAAATCTCATAAATCATGATTTTCAATTATATAAACTAAATTAATTTATCCTTTTTTCTTATGAATATGATTTATTTATCTTCCTCCACGTTTTGATCATCTTGTTTTTATGTTATTTTTTTCAATCTATTTCATTTCATTTCTTTATAACAACCAAAGGAAACTTTAGTGTTTTATGTTTATTTAGATTTATAAATGGGTCAAGGAATATCTAACACTTAACTCTCAAGAACGTGCAAGTTTGTGGGAACCTTAAGATTAATAGAGAAGTTTTTGGTTGACAAAACTAGGGTTTGGGATATATTTTCTCGAAGGTAAACAAAATAAAACGTACGTCGAGTGTCTCCAAACGTAATCATCAATGTAATTAGCTTCAAAATTAGAAGTGTATTTATGAACATATTAATTAAGAAGACCATTGATCAACAAACAAGCCCTGGTCATGACATGCAGGGTAGCAGCCTCACGACACATCCAGATGACAACAATATTGGACGACGACGAAAACAATATTGGATTCGTACGTACTTTGATTCACATGCACATAAAATGGCTAGCCTTCTAATAAAGAATCATGAATAAACGAACACATTGGTTGTATCAGTCAACTAGGTCTGCTATTTCCTTCTTATTTTACTGTTTGTTCATTTGTTCCGCACAGGCACCAATCATTATTCTAATTTCTAAATTTCCTGACTCTATAATTCATCTTTCTAATTCATTTGTTTTGCTTTCAGAATATTATAGTGAGTGTAATTTCCACTCATACTTTCAGAATATTATCAGTGGTCTTTTAAAAATTTCCACTCTCTCTCTATCTCTATCTTCAGAAATATGTTTGAACGGCCCTTTTATGTTTTAATTATGTTAATAAATAGCTTTAAAATATTTTAATCTTCAATAATAGATTTTCATTGTGTTATTTTATACAATTTTTTCAACTTCAATTCCAAAATTAACCAACTTCAATTTTATATTGGGAGGTCTCAGCCATCTCAGTCATGATGATGGATGGCTGATGAGATCTAAACCCTCCAGAGGCCACATTTAAAGATTTATTTTTATTACAATAAAAACTATGAAAATGTTAATAAATTTATTTTATTACCAATCCAACAATACATATTTAATCTAAATGATCCAATTTAATATTAAAATTTTTATAATCTTTATAAATTAATTATCCAAATATATCCTGAATAGTTTAAATTTAGAATTTTTAATTTTTTAAAAAATATTTTTTTTGAAAGTGTCAATTTGGAGATTATCTTTAATTTTAATATTATATTTACCAAAATAAAAATTATAAAAATTGTAATAGTCAATTTAAAAAATTTTAAATTTTTAATATTTAATTGGATCATTCAAATTAAATATGTATTGTCTAGATTGATGATAAAATAAATTTATTAATTTTTTATAATTTTATTTAAATAAATAAAAAATAAAACATTTAAATTTGGACCTTCCAAATTAATAGCCTGTTTGAATAACTCTCAGAAATACATCAAAATTACATCTAAAATATATTTTTTTATCAAATTTAACAAATAGTTGAATCCTCCAAATATAGTTAGATCTTCTAAATATACTTTTAACAAATATAAACTGAAATTAAAACGGGACAAAAACTTGGACAGCCCAGATCTTATGAGGCTAATGAGCATTAAAACCAGATCCAATCCATATCCTCTTCCCATGGATAGATAGCGTGGAAAGAGGATCTGAACCCTTTTTGAGACATGGATCTTCTTCTTTTTTTTAATACAAATATATGAATCCTCCCCAGTAGTTAGTACTCTCTCTCTCTCTCTCTCTCTCTCTCTCTCTCTCTCTCTCTCTCTTCATATCTCTGTAATTCCATACAAAATTTTCTGTTAATTACAATAACAAATTTATCTAGCAGTATAACTCGTAATATTATTTACACAAAATAGCCTCTAAAAACATTTTAAATATACATGTGTTTGATTTCAACAGAGAATTATGCTTACATGCTGAAAGAATCATGTCCCAAGAATGTATATAATTAATTAGCACAAAAAGTTGACATCAAATTAAAAACATATGACAGAAAAATTCTTAATTACACACACACACACACACACACACAATTAATCAATGAATTGATGATTCATTATTTATCATTTTTCATATTTTGAGCCCTAATTCTACTACCCCATGATGAATTTTCCTTTTGAGCCATCCTTGTATCAGACCTTCTCTTCAACTCAACCACTTGCTGTTCCCACCTTCTTCTCCATCTTTCACCTCCACCATTAACATTCTTACTATTATTCCTCTTGCTTGTAATCAAGCCGAGTTCATAATCATACTCTTGTCGGAGTACCGGGTCCGATAATGTCTCGTAAGCTGCATGGAGCTGCACAAACATCCTCGTACACTTCTCCTTCCTTAAAGGATCTAGGCACACGTCTGGGTGGTACTGAAGTGCCATCGACCTATACGCCTTCTTTATTTCTTCATTGGTTGCACTCTTCGGATTCAACGATAGCATCTTGTAAAAGTTTTCAGTGGTTATCTCTTTGACCTCAATAGCTAGCTTTCTTGCTTTGCATGAAACATATTGAGCCGGAATCAGCCTTTGGCTTTGCCACTTTTTTGAGAAAGGATTAAAGCCATGAGAGGGCCTATTGGGAAATAAGGTTGAGCTCAAGGATGAAACTTCCATTATTGCTTTGAAATTTGACTACCAAGTCTCACAGTGTTTTAGACCTATTTATATATCTACAAATGGGTCAAGGAAACTAGTACCAAGTCACAAGAACACGTTTTTGTTTTTTTTTTTTTTTTTGCATTGATAAAATAAAAAAAGAACTATATATGTTTCTAGGGTCTTGAATTGTTAGATCTGTAGATATACGCATTTTCTTCTTGGTATGCTTCGAGATATTTTCCCATTGGTCTGTACACCGTAAAGTTACACAAAATAAAACGTTGAATGTTTCTACACCTAATTATCAATGTAATTAGCTCCAAAAGCAGATTTGTTTAGATAATAATTATTATTAAGAAGAGACCGATTGGTAAAACAGACAAGCCCTAGTCTTTCACATGCATGCAGGGCAGCAGCCTCACGACAAATGATGTGTCTTATTTAAAACTCAAGAAAAAAACATTATACCAACGACGACAAGGACAACAAGTTTAATGGTCTTTGTGTTCATTTCATAGGAAAATTAAATCTCTATAAAAACTGGCCTGCCATATTATATTGAAATGTTTTACCGCCATATGGCTTTGGAAGAGAAGCCGAGTCCAAGAATATATATCTGTCTTATATATATATTGACTATATATATAATTGGATTTGGATATGTGCGTACTCGATTTGATTCAGATGCATATATATAAAATTTATCCTTCTGATTAATTTGTATTATCAGCCGGCAGAGATAGTAAAAAAACAATTGATTATATCAGATTCAGATCATAAAATCTAGCCTCTTCTGATCAATAATCATAAGCATATATATGATGAGCACATTGGTGATACCAGTCAAATAGGTCTGCCATTTCCTTTTTATTATACTGCTTGCTCATTTCGTCCTTATTATATATAAGAATAATGTATATATCCTCATGCAATATCTTTATCTTCCCACAATTATTTTTGGTTCCCTATCTAGTCTATTGTAATTTATAGGAATAGATAGCATCATCACATGATAAGGTTAATATACTAGATTTTGATTAACGGAGTTAGATCTAGTGAAATGGCCTAGTTCCTTATAACATAGCAACTCAATAATGTTTAAATTCTTGTCACTAAAAGAGATACTTGCATTTAGTGCTCGATTGTGTTTCAAACAAAATTACACCAGTGTTCAATCAAAATTCACACAAACACTAGATTTTGATTTCATGAATTAATCCATATTATTTTTAGTGATAATTATGCCATTTTAATTTCCAAGCCTATTATGGAATCATCCACTTTAACTTGGTTCAAAGCCCATTGTTTAATTTAAATTTCTTGTTTATTCTGTCAAAGCTTGTGTAAATATTTCACTTTGATTTGTTTCATAGTTCTTACAGGTTTTTGTTTATTCTCATTTAATATTATAGTGATTTTTAGAGGACCTTGATGAAGAGTGGATTTTTTTTTTTTACTCAGAGAGATCTATAGAAATTTTAAAATTAGATAGATCATAGAAATGTTTATAAATAAATGTCTCATAATGTACTCTTCAAGATACTTCTTAACATATGAACATTAAAATTTAAAACACGTCAAAAAGATAGGAACCAACAATCATATTTTTGTTCTAAAAATTAAGTACATTAATAACAAGCGTTGAAGTTAATCAAGATAACTTAATAATTACTAAATTAAGTGATGAGGTAAATTAATAATAATCTATCCTAAATATGTGTGCTTCTTGGAAAGGACACTATATAAGACAATTTGGAGCTCTTTGTATTTGGACCATTCCTTTGTCCTAACTTCGCAATGCGTTTGATAGATCGGTTTCACACAATATTTTCCATTTTGATAGGAAAATGGCCATATTTGAATGAAACTGCTAGTAAATTTGATCAGTGTTATGAGGAGCGCACCAAACCGGCCAGCTCCATTTTCCAAATTTGATTAGATCACATCAGAAAACTAGCAAACTTGAGAACTAGTCAAACCAACCTTAAATTGGTCAAAATCGATAGAGCTGATGGGGAATCAGCTGCATTATTATCTTTTTAAAATTTTAATTCATATTTCTAATCTATAATTTATACAAATCTATACCTAGCAAGTATTGGGAAATTGAGAAAATGAAAAAAAAATGTAAGAAATATGTATTAACTATGCGTGTGTGCATTAAAGTTATAAATTATAATTTATGAAATAAGTATGCATGCTTTGAATGAAAACATATATTACTTTTCTTATTGTATTGTATTTTGTTTATAGTTTAAATATTCATTTTTATAAATATATATATATATATGATTTTTTATTTTAAAAATATATTTTTTTAAATATATCAACTTATTTATAATTTGTTGGGTCACGGTTTACCATTAAACTGAGAACTATTATGTTAAACCAATTCAATTATCTTGGTCTGAGTTTCTTAACATTAAATTTGATTTCTTATTAGAAAAGGCATAGAAGTCTCATGTTAGATAAAATGAGGTTGAATCATAACATGATGTTAAGTGAATGAATAATAATATCTACATTTTTTCATCATATGACAAGGACGACCACTTACAACCACGACAATTATAATAACAAATTGTATTAGCATGACGTATTTAAAAAGTAAATCAATTTTTTTCACTCAATGAAATTTCAATTGAAAACTATAAAATATTAAAATCTCAATAAAGGACCATGATCCTTACTTAAAATTTTTTAAAAAATATGAATTGTCTTAAATGCCTGTCAAGAAAAAATTACTGAGTGAAGTTAGTATATTCATAGTTGATTTTAGAATGTTTTAAAAGTGAGTTTTTTTCATACTAAAAAAAAACGTATTCCCAAGCATGCTTCCTTATTTTTTCAACTAACATTAATAATATTTTTATACAACTATAGTATTTTTTGCAATGTCATATACATTTAGGGTGTATTTGGTTAGAGGGAAGGAGGGGAGGGGAGCCCTCTCCCCTCATTTGGTTAGGAGGAGGGGAGCCCCTCCCCTCCTTTGGTTAGAAGAAGGGAAGGAGAAATTTTTAAAATTTTCCCTTCCCTCCCCTCCAAATTAGGGGGAGCTTTCTTTCCCTCCTCTTCCCTTCCCTTAAACCAAAAACCTATTTTAGTGTTTAGTAAAAAGTAACTTTATAAAGTTATGCGTGTTTTTTATTTTAAATAAGGACTATGGTCCTTAATTAAAATTTCAATATTTAATGGTTGTTAACTAAAATTAGTGATTTAGAAATTTTTAATTATCATTTTTTCATTTCAATTCAAGAGTGAATTTTAAAATTGGGCTTTGTTTAGGTCCAAAAAAAGCATTAGACTTAACAAATAAAGAAAAACATAAGAGCATCTTAATCTATGATAATTTTGATACTTCAAAACTTTGGCCCATCAAAAAAGTGGAGTCATTCTACTGTTGAAAAGGATTCTGCATCAAGATGTCAATATATAGTATATGATTAATGATTAACTAGAATATGCACTGTTTGAAAATAAGGTTAAATTATACATTAGTTTCCTGAATTTTAACACATGTACAACATAACTTCATTAATTTTTGAAACTTTATAACTAATGAACCCTTTCAGCTCTTATATTTATGTAAATAACTATATATGATTAATTTTATACATTAATTATTTACACATAACTTAAAATTTAAGGGCTTATTTATATATTAATTAAAGTTTGAGAGCTTAAACACAAATAATAATAAAATTTAAGGAGTATATAATTAATGAATAGGTTTTATTTGTATAAATTTAAAAGTTCAAAGAGATTTATTATTAAATTTTGCAAGTTAAAAGAGTTATTTGTATACGGTTTAAAGTTTAGGAAAATTGTGTGTAATTTAACTTATAAATAATCCACAATGAAATGTAACGGTCTAACGAAGAGAGATAAACCCTCGCAATGATGCATTGATGCTTTCTCTAACTTTACTTTCATGAACGTCTTCTCTAAATTTAGGGAGGCAAATTTAATTTAAGATTTTGAATGTCAATTACTTTAATTTAAATTTTTCGTTTTAAAAATGATTTAAAATTAAAATCATTTGAATAAAATATCAATTTATTAATATATATATATATATATGTATAATTTAAAAATTTTAAACTTTAGTTACTCTTCTAGAAGAACTAAAGAAGGATAACATAAGAGTGGTTATATGAAAAATTTAAAACAGATATACGAGTGTTTCTTAAATAAAATCTTGAATTTAACTTTCCAAATGTTAAAAATCACATTAAAAAAAAATACCCTCCACTACTTAATGTTGTACATTGTTTGGATCTAAATTATTCTTACACATATATAATAGAAGAATAACAAGCCTATGTCTCCAAATGACACGGGTCATTTTTTTTTTTCTCAAATACTTAAAATTCATGAAACCACATAGGATCTGGGTTACAAAATTAATTTTAATATACAAATGTAATTTATATGTAACTTAAAAAATTATCACTTCCTAACCTCACTATAATCAAGTAGAACAAGAAATAGACCGAATAAATTCATTGAAATAAAAAATCTAAGTAAGATAAAATAAGAGAAGGTATTAAAAAAAAAAGTAGAAGATGAAAGAGAGGGATGAACAAATTTTCTAGAGAATTAAAAGTAAAAGGAGAAAAAAAAAAAAAGATTCACAAGTGATCGCAAATGATGGAGAAAGCTGAGGCGAAATATTGGGGAAGCATGCCCGTAAAAGGAGACACACAACACAACAAATGTCAATGCTTTGATAAACAAGCCTCTCATCATTTTCCCACCGAATCATTTCCAAACCTTCGCTTTTATTATTATTCCCCTCAAAAATTATTTTTTATTAAAAAATTTTAATTTTATATTTTATATTTAAATGCTATGAATTACATTTTTTTCAGGTCAGCAATCTGTGTGAAATGTAAGTCGTATTTATCATATTTAAGAAATAATGCAGTTTATCAGATCTAGGTTTTATATTGATAAGTTGATTTTAAATTTTTCCTCACATGATAATCCATGGTTCAAATTTGTGTCAAGTGTTTATATTTAAATAAGATTATCTTGAATAGAAAGCTACATGTATATAATAAAAAAATAATTTTATATTTAACAATTATTTTTAATCACCCTAACAAAGAAAATCGTAATGTAAAACTTTTTTGGGGCCAAATCTCAACATAAAACCTTGCATTATAAGTTTTAATGTAAAAAACGTTTTGTTTGAAAAACACAATAAAATAGTTGGACCAAAAAAAAAAGAAAAACGCAGTAAAATAATGTGTATGCTGAAATTAAATTTTCATCCATAAAATGCTTGAAATGGTTTTAAGTTTATAATTTTTTTAATATAAATGTTTTTGCTTAATATCAAATATATGATAAATTTTAAAAATCACATCGCATTATTCATAGATTATCCATGCCTAATTCTCTTCCCTTGTTTCATAAAATAAGTCAAATTTTAAAGGAATTTTTTTTTCCCGATGGATAAACAGCACAGTACTAGATCCTTACATCAGAACCAAAAATATATACAATATATATTATTTTTTAGTGCCCGCACTTTACTCAAGTTTTGATATAAATTTTATACTTAATTTTTTATGTTTCATGTCTTTGGACTTGTTTTCATCTATAACATTAGTTCCTATATTTTTAAATGAACGTTAAGTATAAATGGTGTTAATAATATTAACATATCAATTAACAATATTAATTTTGTATTTACATGTCAAAATGATGCTAACATATAAATTTTAATAAGATTTTAAAAAAAAAAAAAGCCTGCATGAAATTTGTGCATTTTTCTTATCATTTAAAGAGTTTAGGTTAGCTTTTTTATTTCATTTGATGCAGATTTTTTTAAAAAATTTTATTTATTAAAAAATTTATGCTAACATCAATTTAATATATAAGCATATAATTAATAATATTAATTGACATGCTAACATTATTCACATTTCGTTTGAGTCTAAGTCAATCCCTTTAAAAATATAATAATTAATATTATAGATAAAAAAAATATAAAAACTTAAAATATTAAAAATAAAATGCATGAACTTATATCAAACTTTGAGTAAAGTATAAAATTAAAAGTAGCATTTTCTTAATTTTAAATTATAATAATTTTAACAAAGAAGATTGGTGATGCTGTAGACTTTTTGACTCAGCATCAGCGGTGGGCGATGATGGTGTGGCCCGAGTTGGGGTTGGTGGGCCCAAAATGCACGCCTCCATTTTTTGTTCGGTGCAGATTTACTTTTTCTTCTTTTTTCTTGAATTCTCATAAATCATGTTTTATTTTTTTTTTTAAATTTAAAACCTCCAATTAAGAACAATGAACTTCTTGCCAAATTGATCAAGCAGCAGGCTGTCGGGTGCATATTTCACTGATACATTTCATCCGTTTCAATTTATAAAATATTTTTAATACTAATTGAATATCTAAAAAATATAAAACACTTTAATAAAAATAAAATTTTATTAATTATCTTTATCTCAATATTAGTTGTGTGGTGAGGCGAGTTGTGGGGCCCAAGATGTGCCTCATCCTGTTTGGTTGGGCGCAGAATTTTCTTCACATGTGCTGACTTATTCGATCGGTAATTTGAGTATCTCTTTAGACGGCATGCGGAGAATTTAATTTCAGTTGGGCGCAGATTTTACCGAGATCATAGTTCAAGAAATTTCAGCATTGATTTTTTTTTTTCAGTAACATCTCAATAATTTATTTTATAAGTTCGATTGCTCCTTAAAGTCAAAATATAGGAAGACCAAGTCACTCTAAGAATGAATTTTAATCTACTGTTAAAAAGTCACGAACACATGAAATGATAAATGAGAAGAGCTGATGCTCAAAATGGCAAATGAATATTTAAAGGGGGGAAAACAAAAAGAGAGAAGAAAATCAAAATATATAATCCCTCATCATATAATCTCTCACTAGTCTCTCAGAAGGATGAGAAAATGGCTACACATGAAGCAGCAGCAAGAAGCAAAGATGGTGCTGAAATGGGATCAAGCACAGAAGATGCCGAAGTGTTGCCAGGAGATGGTGATGGTGCTGGAGATATCTCATTTGCAGCCTCTCCACCAGAAGCTTCAGGCGCTTCTCCACCAGTTGCAGCAGATGGTGGAGATGATAGAGGAGATGTGAGGCCTCCTGAGTCACACACAAATCAACACAATTTTACTAAACTCCAATCATAATGTCAAAGCCTATCTGTAGCCTATACGCTTGCTTTTGACTTATTTATGACTTCATGTACACACGCATGAATGCATTTTCAAGAATCTCTCAACCTCAACTTGAGAGGTTAAATTAAGAGCTCGTTTACTAACACCAACTTTCCAATACGTTTTTCAAAAACACGCTGTAAGTCTTTCAATTATAACCAATAAACTTTTGGTCTAGTGCAGCCGATCCTAATAATTTACTTCTTGATGCAAGAGGTTAAAGAATCAAACCCCAATATGATTAGGGGGAATCGTGTTTTTTTAAAAAAGGGTAAAAGTCACCTTTTCTCTTTACAGCTCATATCCATCTTTGTAAACTGTGAGTGACTATGAGTGATTCTAAATTCCCAGAAGTTAAAAAATCATATATTCAGATAAAGAAGCATTAGGGGGGAAATGACTATTTCTTTACAATTTACACCGATCTTTTTTAATCCTCCGAAGTAAACTGTGAGTGATTGAAGGGTAATATATGTCGGGGCCACTTATCTATTCCCCTTTACTCTCTGAATATATGTCATCATTCTTATGATTGTAGAAAATAGAAAAATTGAATTCGAAATCAGAATAAGGATTCTTAAATAGACAATACATAAAAGATAAGCAAAACAAGTAAATAAAGAAGATATGTATGAAAATGTAGGAGGAGGATCTCAGCATCTCACCCAAAAAAAAAAAATTACAAATATGGTAATATGCATTTTAATGATTGATTCAGTGAATTCTGAATACTTTTTGAGAAACTTTCAAATGGATGATCAAAGATGTTACAAACTTTAAAATAAATCATTATTGCATCAATGGCTGTAGACAACCCCACCAAGAGAGAAAGGGACAAGGGGGAGGGGGAGCAAGTCAAGTCATTATTTAAGGGAAATTTATGGAGGGCATACACGCTATTGATTTGACTGTACCTTAATTGCATTTCATTATTTTTTAACACAGAAATTGAAGATACTGTAAAGTGAGATGTCATATGCTGTAGGAAAATAACATGCTTCTTCATATGTAAATGAACTTTAGAGTCTAATCATCTACAATTACGTATGGACCCAATTGGACTAGGTAGACATACACATTAGAATTTTGGATCATCTGTAGAACATATGAACTCTGAGGTTCACAAACACACAAGGGAACACAAGTGTATATATGTATATAATATAAAGATTATTAAATCCTTAACTATATATTTGCCAGTGGAATTTCAGAATATAGAAGGCAATAGCAGGCGAAAATCCAGAAAATCTCAAATGGGTTGATCATATCTGGGACTACTTAATTTAATTTAAAATGAAAAAAAGGAAAAAAACAGTATATTCTATTATTAAGACTTGAGAAACTTACCAGCTGGTGCAGCGGCAGGAGTATCAGACACTGCCAAAAAAAAAAGGACACAGCAATTTAAAATATTGAATGAATCTAGAAATCGAGAAAACACCAGATCAAACTCACATAAATTAAATCAAGGGGAGGCCATGACAGGAAACAACAATATTTAGGAAAAAAATAGCCGCTTCAAGTTCAATAATTAATCTAACGCAATACAATATGTTAATCAGCATTAAGGAAATTCCACTAATTGCGCTTCAACGAGGGTCCCAGATAGTTTGTTTCTGCACTTTCCACAGAGAATTTTACGATCCCAGTCTGAGCAATGCATATTTAGTTTGTGCGGCGCTTACTATCAGTGTCGACTTTAGAGGAAAGGGATCAGAAACTTAGATCAATGCGTTCAAACTCCTCAAAAAAAAAAAAAAAAAGGAGGGCAGCCGAAAGCGTTTCTCAGATATGAAAAAATTGAAAAGCGTCCTTCAAAAGGAAAACACTAGAAGTTAAGAACGCTGTAAAAATACAAGGAAGTAGTTACACCAGTCCGGATTCCCCATCCCAAGAAGAAAACGAATACGCAAAGATAGAATCGCATTTCTACACAGCACAATCTGAGATCCCTAAAAGGGGACGATTAAGCAGAAGAAATGAAGAATCACTTACATCCACAGTTAGTAGCAGAAGGAGCGGAGACTTTACAAGCAGCAGGAAGAGTAACGGCCTTGGTGACGTTCAAAACCACGCCCAACTGAGCGCTGCTTCTGAAGGCCTCACAGAGGCAAGCAGCGTCGGTCTTTAGCACAGTCTTCAAGCCAGAGCAGCAATTGCCCTCGGGCTTGGTGACGGTACTTCCATTGGAGACGAAGGACAAGCAATCGGCCATGGTCAAGACGAGGTTAGAGCAATCGACGGACGGCGCCGGAGCGTCGCGAGCGGAATCGGAAGACACCACGAAGATAGCGAGAAGGCAGAGAATCAAAGAGAGCTTTGATGCCATTGTTGCGGAGAAGAAGGAAGTGACGGAGAGAAACAGGCGTGAGAGGAAGGAAATGGAATGAAGAGATGTGAGAAAGTGGGAATCTGGAAGGTTGTTAAATAGGCAAGCCTGGGATTTGAATACGAAAAGGTGGCAACTTCTGAGATTTTTCTTTTTTTCTTTTTCTTTTTTAAGTGAGAAATCAATACTAGTTAATTAATTAATAAATAAAATTTGAACATGTAGATTTTTATGGAAAATAAAATCAATTTTGACTTGATTACTGTTACAATTTAATCTCTCAAAAATCTGACTCGTGAAATTTAGTCTCAAATTTTAAATATTAAATTGACAATTAATAATTAACAATTAATAATAGATTGGTTTAATGAAATGAACTGATCACTATTTAATGAGTTAAGATTGAAATTCTTTTTAAAAAATACGTTCATATTTAAAATCCAACAATATTTTAAATATAATTATCATTAATAAAATAATTTTTTATATAATAAAAAAATTACTTGTGTTCAATTCATTGCTTCTGATAGTCTGAAAAGAGATATATAGTTCTTTAAAAATTAACTTGTAATCGTCGATTGATTTATAAAGAGAAGGATTATAATTTTTTTTAAATATAATATTAAAAAATATAAGATATTTTGGATCTATGACTAATACTATTTTTTGAAAATATTCTTAACTAGAGATGTAATTAATTAAATTTTTTAATCAAGACAATTTATTAAATAAGAGTATATATAAAAAAAAGTTTAATTTTAAATATCATATTAATAAACTTATTGGGAAATAGAAAGTAGTTGAAAAGTCCTATAATAATGGAGTAAATAACTAATACACTAATACTCGAAGTATTAGTTTGCAAAGGCTGCTTGTAATTAAGCAGAAACTATAAAGGTTAAAATGATTAATTTCTTTTTCTTTTTCTTTTTTCCTAGGAAAATGTGGATATCTAGTTGTTTAAGAAATATCTGCTGAAATAACTTCCCAAATGAAATTCAAGGAAGTTACGTGCTCTTTTCAAGAGTGTTTATTTTTAATTTTAAAAATATAATTCGGATTAATTTTTTAAAGCCGAAATAATAATGGTATACTCCTATCGATGTCTTTAACATTAAAAATTAATATGTATATCTTAAAAAATATATTCAACTTTCTAACGAATTGTCGATATATGGTGGGAAAACCTCCCATCTTTTTCTAGGCCTTGATAAAGCCCTTTGTCCCGTTTTCCATTAAAAAAATAAAAAATAAAAATTAATATGTATATCTTAAAAAATATATTCAACTTTCTAACGAATTGTCGATATATGGTGGGAAACCTCCCATTTTTTTCTAGGCCTTGATAAAGCTCTTTGTCCCGTTTTCCATTAAAAAAAATAATAAATAAAAATTAATATGTATATCTTAAAAAATATATTCAACTTTCTAACGAATTGTCGAGATAAAACAAACAAGTAAAATGCAGACTTCCTGAAAAAAGAAATAATAATAACTGCTCAAAAAGATTAAAAACTCAACCCAAAGATATCTTAATAAAATAAACTGACTATAAATAGTGATTTTAAATATATTTAAAAAATAAATTATAATATTCATAATATTTAAACAGTGTAATTTGTTATATATATTTTTTTATTTTATGTTGATATTGATATTTATTTTAGAATATAAAACCCCTTATGATGAGACTAATAATAAAAAGACGTTAATATTATATTTTTATTCCAAAAAAATTAGGCAGAATTCTTAAATTGTAAAAGAAATTATTAGAGCTATTTTTTAAAAAAAATATAACTAAATTTCTCCAATATATATATATATATATTAAAATTTTCCTCAGTTGATCAAAGATGCTTTTGCTGCTTATAATTGTATCTGATCTTCTTTCCTAAAATATACAAAAGTGGTATTTAATCCTTTATTATGTATTATCTCTTTAAATGAATATGTTTTAATCATCTCAAAGTTTCAAACCTTTTTAATATTGAAAGATTCTTGATTCTTCAATTAGTAACCATTGCACAAAGTGACATGTGATCTCCCTTTCAAAAAACTTGAGAGTTAACACATTTCAAAAATACATACCATGGAATAGCATTTGTGTTGTTGTTCTTCTTTCACATCCTATTTTATATTTTTTTCCTAATACAGTAATTTGGTATACTTTCCTGTTCAATATTATAAGAGATATATACATATATATATTTAATATAATATATTAAAAAATAAGTCATTTTGAGTCTTTTAAAGTACAATTAATAAGGTTTTTCTAAAAATATCTTTAAGGGGTTTAATTAATATATTTTTTTTAATTGAGACACTCTTTTGAACAAGGGTAGACATAAAAAGTTTGTAATTTTAAAAATAATAATTTACTCATTTAATATATAGTTTGATTAAAAATATCTTATGATCCTAAATGGAGCGAGTATTATGAATAATTTGCTATAATTTGCTCAATCAAACTAGGCTATAAGCCCTTGGCAGGCCTCTCGATTTACTGAAGTTTCTCCTCAAGAATCCTTAATGTTATATTTGGCTGAAGAGAAAAATATGAAAAAGAATAAAGTAGAAAAGAAAAATGAGGTTAAAAAGATGACATTTTTTCTTACTTGACTACAACAACAACAACAACAAGCCTTTATCCCACTAGGTGGGGTCGGCTACATGAATTGCAAGATGCCATTGTGCTCTATTATTTATCAAGCTTTTAGAAATATTATTAATTAAGAGATCACGTTCAACAACTTCCAAGAGTGTTCTCTTAGGCCTTCCTCTACCTCTCTTAATCGGACTTAAAGTTATATGTTCCACTCTTCTCACTGGTGCCTCCCTTGGTCTTCTTTGTACATGCCCAAACCATCTCAACCGATTTTCTACCATTTTTTCCTCAATAGGTGTCACCCTCACTTTTTCGCGTATGTGCTCATTTTGAATTTTATCTTTATGTGTATGTCCGCACATCCATCGTAACATTCTCATCTCTGCTACTCCAACTTTATGCTCTTGCTCATTTCGAATTTTTTCTTACTTGACTAAAAAAAGAAAAATAGAAAGGAGAAAAAATTGAGAGAAAAATAATATGTAAAACCCACATAATTTTACCTTCAACTTTTCTCTCCAAATACTAAAAGATTTTAAAGAGAAAATTTAATTTTTAAATTTACCCACAAATCTATCATTTCCCACATATTACCTCCCCCAATTTTTATCCGTCACTTAAAAATTTTAGATAATTATATATTTTATAATTTAAAATTGGATGAAATAATTTTTTGCTAGCATTGCATAAAATAATTTACATCTATATTTTTATTCATTAGAAATATATAATAAAAATTATATAAATAATATGTTAAAATATTAAACTTTATTATATATATAAATATTTTTACAAACAATAAGGCATTTATTGTTCATACGAAATAATTTTTTTTCCTTCTCTGTGTTTTTTTCCTTGCTCAACCAAGTATACGAGAGAAGCTTACATTGCTTCATTTTTTTCTTCTCTTTATTTTCCCTTCTCCCACCTTATTTTCTTAGGTGAGCCAAGTACTACGTGAATATTTATGATGATGCCACTATCAAGGTTATTAAACTCATGGGTTTAAATAAACTCATGACATAGATGTAAACTTGCATTGTAAACTTGTAATAATTTACTTATATTAATAAATAACCATTAAAAGAATAGAATTAAATAATTAAAATATAAAGTTTGATCATAATTTGATGTAAATATATTTCAAATATAAATAATTAAAGTTAAATTCATCTACATTAATAAATTATCATAATAGAGAAATTTAAAATTTAGGCAACTTATTTTTTTTTGTTATTTTAATTAATATTTTTTTCTTTTTGGGTCTTTATTTTCTTTGAATCAAGTCCTATCGCCTATATAATCTGAGTTCTATACAATACATATCTAACTCACTCAACTTGATAAGAAATTAACAAGTTTAATAAATTTAATCGAGTTTGCATTTAATCAAATTTTATAAATGAATTGACAGGAATTTTATAAATTAGAAATGTGAAGCCGGTAAATTCAAGTCTATATGTAGTTTAAATTTATGAAAAAATTAATATAAATTTATAAGTTAAAAAATAAAAATGATAAATTTAGAGGATTTATGATTTAGTCCAAACCAAGTGTACACAAAAATTTGCCAAATGCTAAATTGCTTTAGGAAACAAACTAATTTTTTATTTTTTGAAGGACTAAAAATTGAAGGATAAAATGATTAAAAAATAATTTAACAGTTTAGTTCAATTGAAAGAATATATATATATATATATATATTAAGAGATGGAGTTAGAAAAATAAACATCCAATTAATCAAATGCAAATGGCGGGCATGATCTCTTACAGATCATAATCATATGAGAGAGGTTATAATTTTAAAAAAACACCACACGTCCTTTTTTTCCTTTGTAGTTATTTAACGTTTCAAACACGTTAAATTAGAGCGTAAATTAAGTTATAAAAGTTGCGTTTGGTTGGTCAAAAGAAACATAGTGAAATTTAAATTGCATACACCATCTTGTTTTTACCGCGTTGATGTTAATGGAAAGTATTATAACATTAACAGCTTAAGTATAATATTTCAGGATTTAGTTGGTGAGAATACAAAAAATATCTTTAGAAAAGCTTACTCCAGTTGGAGAAACGTATTGGTAAATTACTTTTTATAGTTGTGAGGAAAATATGAACATTAACTTTCTGGGAATTTCAGATTTTTAATGGATCAAGAGAAATTTCCATACTACTTGAAAAATCAAGGAAAAACATGGATTTGAATTCCTAAAGTTGTTGTTAACTATAATCAAGGTGCGTATAATTCTTTCGGTTAAGAAATCAATCCTTAAAAATACAGTCAACTTTTGGTCAAAATACTTGAAAATAACGTGTGTTGTGTTCGGTAACAAGTAGAAGCTTCACTTGAAATTGACCAAAAACGACGTGATTTCTTAAAGAAAAAGACTATAAGGCCAAGTTGACCACAACCTTAAATGACTAATGATAATTTTTATTATTTTTATTTGTATTTTAAAATTTAATTTATTTTTAATTTTTTCAAAAACATGCTTTTTTTAGGGTAGATTTTTCTTTCTTGATAAAAGGACAAATAGTTCCAAATACACTAAAAAGAAAATTAAAATAACATAGGCTAAAAGTTAAAAGAAAAGGCTAAAACACGGGAGATACGTATTCCCTTGCACTAGTTTCATATGCAAACTCCAGGTGAAGATTACATTGAATTTGTTAAAAAGAGAGTAAATATATTTTATAATGATCGAACCAGAATTTCCAGCTAAAAATTTACTAAAAACGAAGTTCAGATAGCAAAAGAGATTGAGAACTTGATATCAAAGATCCCCATAATAGGAGTCATTGTCAAGAGAGCAAAGGTTGAATAAAGGCAAAGAATTTTAAAGCCACTCAGATTTGTAGATCTAGTGCCTATTTGGATTTCAGTTGAGTATAATAGATTATAAATATAATTAATTAAGTGATAGATTTTAATCATAATTAATTATATTATAATACAATCTGTTTGAATATTGTTTTTCTAAAATTGATTTTAACAGAATTAAAGATGTTTGAATAATTTAATCAAAATTAATTTTTAACTATATAAATTACTATATAATTTAATTTTTAAATACTAAATATTAATTTTTTGAGTATACAAAGCTTAAATTTTATTAAGAAAAAAAGAAAAAAAAGAGAGTTTAATTTTATTTTCATTAAATTATGTGTTTTCTTTATAATTTTTTCTTGAGCCTATCTTTGTAATTTTTTCCAACATTTTTGACAAACTTTTGGCAAAAACCGGATGGAAGTAGGATGGAAGTAACTTATGAGAAAATGCGCGTATGGGCTTAGAATTAATTTTCATCCTTTTCTGACTATTTGAGTAATTTGCTAGAAAAATTAATTTTGGGGGGGGGGGAGGAATTGATTTTTTCCCCCTATCCAAACACACAATTACACTTAGACCAAATAAACATGATTACTTGTCTTCTGTCCACAAGAGCTAAGATCTTAATTTCATTGAATATTATTTGTTCTTTCTTGATACAAATGAAGCTCTATTCATTATCTTAGAAATTTAGAAGACTTCTTCCAATAATAGGATTCAGCAATCCTGATGAGTTATTAGAAGCGTGTGAGAACAATTTTAAACAAACAAGTTGATAAGGATTTAATTCTGCGTCGTACTCTCTTGAGAGTGATTAGTTTTCAATTTTCATTGTAAACTTATATATACCTATTTTAAATGCCCCCAAAAAAACAATATTGAAGAGACATGAGGAATGTGAAACGCTGACTAAATGAGAAAAGAAGAGAGAGAATATGACGTGGGGATGAGAAGCAGAATGATGAGTGTGGCAATTATGGAAGCGACTCCATGATCGTCGCCAAAAGTGCAACACTCCTCATCATGCTTTTGCCACCTGCCTCCTCATTCCACTCACTACTAAAGCTAAAGCTTAAAGCTCCAACACACACACACACACACACCCGCATATATATATGCATGCAATCAATCATTTGATTCACTACCCTCATACTTGAATCCTAACTCTGCCCCTACATCAATCATGCATGAACATGAACACCATGTCTTAGAAAAACATTTGTAATTATTTATACTCAAGTGGATCTCTAGAACAATTTGCATAGAATTCGAGATGATTAGTAAAACAATACAAACTTAATTGTAATTCTTTAAAGATATATTGATGTTGATTTCAAACGGTCATCACATATAGTAATTTAAATTTAAAAGCTTTTGCTTTCCGCACTCTCACTCTCGTGTAGCCAAGTGCATGAGTGATGATTGGGACCCCCTTTCATTGATTGAGGACTTTGCTAAACTTTTGATATTTATAATGTAGGATTTTCCAGTCTCATGCTTTCTATGTACCTATATGGTCAAAAGACAAATCTCAAGGAGGCTGAAACTTGAAAGCCACACTAACCACACCATTATGCACAGTGCAATTTCCAATAATATATAGAAAAAATGTAACTTTTGGCTTGGACCTTTATTTGATTATCAACGGTTCCTAAATTTTGGCTCAGAAAATCTAAATCTTTATAGTTTCTTGATTCAAAACTACTTAGTTTTATAATTTTTTTTTAATTTAGTACAACTCAATCACTATAATTTCCTAGACATTAACTCAATAACCTCCTCCAAACTATAATATAGGACATCTTTAAGAAGTCATATGAAGAGGTCCTATTTATTTCAAAATATAAAGTATTAGATCATTTTTATAATTATTTTTTACTATTCTCCTACTTTATTTATTATTTTTTAAAAAAAATGATGTGTTGAAATTTCAATAGTCATTATTAAAACACTCATATAAAAAATTTAATGATGATATAATTCAAAAGATTATGTACAATTTTTTTTAAAAGATTAAGGTTTCACTTAATTTTTTTTAGAGCTATAGCTGCTAATACCTTATATTAGAGTCCAAATGAAATAACTTACAAGGACTAAAGTATACTAAATCAAAATTTAGGGACAAAATAAATAATTAAAAAAATTAGAGAATAAAAGTTAAATAATCACTAATAAAGTTATAAAATTTAGAGTATACATGATGATGATTCTTTTTATAGAATCAATATAATTTATTCTCACCTTTTTCTTTCCTATAACGAATACTTAATAGCACAAGCACCGTGAATTAGGCATGAAAATCGATGCCTTTTCAGTGGAACCACCCTTTCCCCTCAATTCTCATAATGATTCGCCCCACACACAAAAAAGTAAAGAGGTGGGCAGATTTCTTTTCACATTAATAATATATTTTCCATCACACCACACTTCAACTCAACATCTTTCCAATGTTCGTCAACATCTTATTTCCCAAGTTTGACACATGATTTTGCATAATTTCCTCTCAATGAACACATACAAAAATTGAACCAATCATTAAACCAGTCAAAACACTGATTTAAGAGTTAATGATCAAAATCATAATTGAACTATAATTAAATCAATCATAAACAAAATATTTTATTAAACCAGTCAAGATACTAGTTAAATAGTTTACTGTCGAGCAAATTAACCCAAATTTTCATGCTATGCACAACTATGCTTGAAATGAAATAGGTATAACTAGGAAGCTCATTTTTTTGTTTCCTTCTACACTGCAACTGAGAAGAGTATCAGGCCAAATTTACACAATGATTGTTGTGTGTGTGTGTGTGTGTGTGTGTGTATGATACCAGTAAACGTGTGCGTGTGTCTCTGTAAGGGCAGCAACTTTATGAAGGTGAGGAAGATCTATGTTGAACAAAGGACACAATAACAGTCACATGATCAAGCTTGCCTCCAGTACATCCTACATAGCCAGCAGCTTGGGCAGCATCAGAAAATGGACTTCTTGTGCATGGTGATCTCCCAACCTCTTGTGCTTTCATGGCCAAGAACTCTGCTATTTCCTGAAACTCACAACCATCAAACACTTCAGCTAAGCTACACTATTACATGTAATCTAGCAATTACCAGGAAAAAGTATTCTCAGTTTATACTGGGTATGTTATGGAAAGGAGGAAAGAAGGATGAAAGAAATGAGAGAGAGAGATTTATATGAAAAGAGTCTTCATTAACCAACATACTTGTCCTCCTCAACCCTTTGCATTGGTATATTAGCAAAATTAGTTAGTCAAACAACTCCAACTAATTACCAAAATAACTTCCTGACTAATGTTTCTACCTATCTATTATCCATATCAGATACAGCTTAACAATTGCTCTTGCTTCATAGATTTTAACCACAAAGTTTGCAATGCCATAACTCAAGATTTTCTTCATGTGACGAATTTCTTTACTACTGAATCGTAGACAGGAGCAGTGAGAACAGATACATGCTAAAACAAGAAGAACTGTAGAGATAAATAACCTGAGGTTTGAAGCCACTTTGCAAGGACTTGGAAACAATTATAGCTATCTCTTGCTCATAAAGATTGTCAAAGAGACCATCAGTGGCAGTTACAACCACATCACCTTCGTTTAGATCAATACTGTACCCCTGAAACACATTTCACTTTTAGCTGCCATATGCTGTATATAATACATGCAAGCCAAAGAAAAATGAACACAAATTGGACACATTTCATGTCCTTTAAGGAAAAATCAGTTAAAGTGAAAATGCTACTAGATGGATTACATACCTCAATGGTTTCTGAGGGATCATCACCTCTAACTATCTGTAAAGGAAAACTGAATTCGTGAACAGCGGGAGTTGACTTTTTAAAGACAGCACCGTTTCTTAGAATGATAAATCCTGTATCTCCAACATTGGCAGCATGGAGGGTCTGCACATGATTCGCAGGATTTGATTCAATTTTGAGAATTGTTCCACAGATGCCTTATATTCATTCATTCACTTCTTTTTGCTAAGCACTAGACAACCCAAAAGCAATGAGATGGCTGTCTTTGTAACCTAAAATAATATGATTCATGCTGCTAATGAACAAGTTGAATGTGCTTAAGATAATTGATCTCACATGAGTGAGTAATTGAACCTCATTTCATATTACCAATGTATGGAATGCAAAAGCTTACTGGCAAGAAAATCAATGGCTTTTATCTGACCCTATAGATGGATCAGTTGTTCAAAAGCCTCAAGCTATGAAGAACTGGTAATAAAATAATATCAAAAACCTCAAGCTGTTCACATAAAAGCATTTTGGGAATTTCACATGGAAAACAATAGAGATCCGCAAAAATGAGGAAATCAAATCAATTCCACCATAGAACTATTCTACAAGCTTTGAGGCCACGTTGAAGAATCCATAGACCTATTTTACAAGGATCCAACAATTAATTCTACCATGTAGATGAGAACTTATAATGTAAGTCTCAAAAATCATACGAAGAGAAATATGTGGTATGCATCAAAACTATTAAATTTTAAGTAAAAATTAAAAGAACTTCTAGTTGATATTGAATAGAAAACAAAAAATAGGTAAAAGATAAGAAAGGAAAAAAAATATTTCAGCAGCAATTATATTTTCTTTCAAATATGGAGATCTCAAGCTTACAATAAATATTCATAAAGAATAAATTCTAGCCTCTCAGAAACCTGCCTTCCACATACTTACTTCCTAAGTTGTGCCAGTGGCAACACCCTCATGCTTAACAGATATTAGAACCACAAAAATATCAAAGTTTTCATAGGGTGTTCTTTTCAGTCACCCAAATGACAAAAGGAGTTTAAAGGGCCATGAGCATGAGTTGTGTTTGAAATAAACACTAGAAAGTAACTTTAAATACTGGGAAAACAGGCAACTGTTCACCTGACCATCAAAGTGAGCAACCAATGCAGTAGATGATCCATGATATCCTGTTTCTCCAGCACTTGTTCTAAGAACTTCTTCAGGCTTAATCACAGAAATGCTTTGGTAATTTGACACGATATTTTCACACTTTTCCATGAGTTCTTTTGTATATCGTCCATTACTATTTGCTGCAAAAAATTTCTGCAGGATAAGCAGTCGTCTATGATATAGCATAGAGTGGCAAATTTTGGGGAGCATTTTATGGAATTGATGAAAAATCTTGTTCATTCGACCAAAATGGCAACAGAAAATGCTGCTCAGAGGTTGTAAGAAGAATAGACATAAATTCAATGATGTCCATGCTGTAACTGAGTTGGGTTTTATGATCAGCTATCAACATGCATCACAGAAATTCTGAACCAAATTAGACCTTCCCAAAAACATGAGGTAAAGCAAACAAGTAAAGTTCGGATGAATCATAGTAGTTATTGCTTGATTTATTTCCCTGTATATTCGATCTCAAGCCTGTATATTCAATTTCAAGTATAGAAAAAGGATTACCTTCAAATGACCACTGATCAACTCCATCAGCCACACCTAACCAATTTTTGCAAGCAATGAAATAAGCATCCTCTCGACCTGCCAATGCCTGGAAGTCGTCATTAGTTGGCTTATTTATTAGCTGTTGCTCAGGACTCAGATCAAAGAACACCTCAAAAGAAGCATTGGGTACATTGTTACCTCACATTCTATGGTATATTGGTAACCATAATATAGGAAACCACAATATTTAAGATAATGATGTTTGATAATTGAATATAGTCATAAAAAAGATAAAAGTTATGTCTTATAAAAGATAATAAAATTAAAAGGGGTGTGAAGTGAGACCCCTATGGTTTTTGGGTGACATGAGATACCCACCCAAAGTGGTGTCATTTATAATCTTATTACCAATGCACCATACACGGGCATCATAAATATTGTTGGAAATCAAATACTTCTTAAATATAAAGTATACTCATCTTCCTGTATCCTAAATGTCAAGTACATCTGCCACTAGATGCAGCTTTGGAAGGAACGGGCCAGTCAGAAAAAGCAAACAATTTATATGAAAAGATACATCAGATTTCAAAGCAAGAAGGAATCATTAAAATGTTGGTTGCATTAGTTCTAAATCTGTTGCATTTGGACTACTATAAGTTTTGATCCATGGCCATCAACAAAATATTTAAGGTTTTCACTCCCAAGCATTGTCACTTCTCAAATGCCATTTGTATTTTGTTCTATGTACAGGAGCAGAATCTGGAATGTCCGGGTGTTAACTTAATCACATAAATTTCACACCCAAAAATTATTAAAAAAAAAAAAAGCTTAGTCACAAAATCACATCAACAAGTAAATAAAGCCAAGCACACCAATGACAACAATCATAAAAAATAATTAATAATTAAAGGAGAAGAAAATCAATATCATGGCTAACAAAATTGAAAGGGGCAACTTAAACAATCCATTCATTCCAAAATTAGTTTGGTTTAGTTAGGATAAAAAAATCCCACCACTTGCTCATCAGTTAAAATGTTTTTATTCTTAGCCCTAATGCCTAAGTAGCAAGAATCTTAGCCCTAATGCTTATGAAGCAAGAATCAAAGTTGTTAAAGTATATGAAAAGTACCTTAGATGGATGTGGCATGGAGGCAACACCAGAAGTTAGGGAAAGTCCGGTAGTCAATGTTTTCTCCCTGCATAAATAAAAGTGACAAGCTTGACAAACCACACACAAGATGTTCTTCACAAACCCCGAATCTCTAGTCAAGCATCAAACAAAGAAATTTGCATATATAATGGTTTCGTTCCTGTTTTTACTCTTCATTATAATATAGCCATTGAGATTAAGTTTCATTCCCTTCATGTAACTACACACAATTTGCACAATCTGCAATTTCTGCAATATTCAGCAAAAAGATTTAAACTCATAATTCCTTTATTGAAAATTCAATAACTAGACAAACATGCTCAGAAACAGTTATTTTCAGGGGGCAAATTACAAGCTTCTTCCATGGAAATAAATTTGGCTACTTGTATACAAAAGACTGTGATAGCTAATAGTGTGGATCCAGTATACAACACTATTTTTTTTATGCTCAAACGTGATAGACTTTTTGATAATTTCAACTCAGGTTGCCATACTTCCTCTATGTCCATTAACTATGCCAATTCTTGATACCAAGTGCCACAACCTTCTGAAACTCTTCCAACATTTTGACTTACCTTTTACAAGCTAAATCTTTAAGAGATACAAATTAAAAGATGGATCATTTGATAAAAAATCAATAAAAGGATGGATATAAAAATTTCTTCAGGTAGGAAACAATCTGAACCTGAGAAGGAAGAAATGAGACAGAAAAATGTGAAAAAGAGAAGCAACATGAGGAGGGAGGAGTAAAAGGATCAGGATTGATACATGATACAAACCTCTGGGTTTACATAAGAAACAGAGAAAAAGAAAGGAATATACACCTAGCTATTTGAGGGATTTCTTCAAGCAACTTTTCCCCAAATTTTCCCCAATTCATTCCCTCTCAGCCTCCCCCTACCTTTATTACCAATGAACTCCTAGAATTTTCCTTAAATGGCCTCCATATGTCCCCCTACCCCCTGAGATATTTCCCAATCTATTATCCAGTGTTTGTGTATGCCCTTACTAACCAATATTAATATAGATTCTATCAGTAAAGGAGTTCTAAGAAAGAAAGAGCATAGAAAATATACATGCTCTTGAAAAGGCACCCAATTCAGGAAGTTCTTGCAGAACAGGAGTACATACTCATCAGGAACTGTCTTTGCTGAATGCATCTCTGACACACGAGCACTGGATGGAGATTCATAATCACTTTTTCTTGCATTATCCATTACTATTTCATTGTCCGATTTGAAGGATGGATCCAATTCATCTAACTAAACAAAATATTAGTGCAAATGTCATAATAGAAACTGTAGCATATAATACAAAGGAAACATTTTTCACATTTGAACTGAAAAGATTATGAGCGTTGGACTATAGATGAACTCGGAAAACAAACAACCAGAGAAAAAAGTAGGTAATTAGACAAAAATGCTGTCTTCACCTTTTTATCTGCATCAACAGATTCAACATCAATGTGATGACTTGTTTCCTCATCAAGAACTAGTTCAGACTCTAAAGAAGTAAGACCTGGCATCATGTCAGCTACGTCTTCAGTGGCATCAGCAGTCAGGTTGTTTACTGCTCTATCTACAACATTACTCTCATCAGCTGTAGAGAAGTGAGCAACGTCAATGTTAGCCTTCTACCTGACAAAGAGAACAATTAATATTAAAAATTCAATGGATAATCCATGTTGAAAAGACAACAAACAAGTTGCAACATCACCTTCACTTTTCTTTTCAACTTTCCCATGAGCACTGGTATTAAAATCAGCAGATACACTAGACGCTGGGGTAACTGTTGGAACCAACACTCCGACATGATTATGAACTTCATAACTTTCAGGCACACTTTGGACATCTTGAACCTCAGAAGCAACATATTCATGATAATTTTCATGTTTTTCCTCCTCTACTAAGTCAAAAGACACACCAGAATCTGCAGTAACTGTTGGAACCACTCCTCCTGTGTTACTCTTAAGTTCAGAATTTTCTTGAGATACATTTGGGACATCTTGAACCTCAGAAACATCTTCATGGTCATTTTCAAGTTTTCCCTCCTCAACCAAATCAGGGGACTCACCAGACTCCGGAGTAACTGTTGGAACCACCACTCCAGTGTGACTGTTAACTTCAGAATTTTCTTCAGACACACTTAGGACGCCTTGAGCCTCAGAAACAACGTCTTCATGGTCATTTTCATGCTTTTCCTCCTCAACTGAATCAGGAGATACACCAGACTCTGAAGTAACTGTTGAAACCACCACTCCTTGACCACTAACTTGAGAATTTTTTTCAGTCACATTTAAGATATCTTGAACCCCAGAAACAACATCTTCATGGCCATTTTCATGCTTTTCCTCCTCAATTGAATCAGGAAAAACACCAGACTCTGGAGTAACTGTTGGAACCACCACTCCTTGACCACTAACTTTAGAATTTTCTTCAGACACACCTTGGATGTCTTGAACCTGAGAAACAACATTTACATGATCATTTTCATGTTTTCCCTTCTCAACTAAATCATGAGACACACCAGAATCTGGAGTGACAGTTGTAGCCACCACTCCTATGAGACTATTACATTCAGAATTTTCCTCAGACACCCTTGGAATATCTTGAACGACAGAAACAACATCATCATGGTCATTTTCATGTTTTTCCTCCTCGGTTAAATCAGGAGGCGCACCAGACTCTAGAGTAACTGTTGGAACCACCACTCCTGTGTGACTATTAACTTCATAATTTTCTCCAGACACACTTAGGATGCCTTGAACCTCAGAAACAACATCTTCATGGTCATTTTCAAGTTTTTTCCCCTCTACTAAATCAGGAGACACACCCAGCTCTGGAGTAACTGTTGGAACCACCACTTTTGTGTGACTATTAACTTCAGAACTTTCATCAGACACACTTGGGACGTCTTGAACCTCAGATACAACGTCTTCATGATGATTTTCATGTTTTCCCTCCTCTACTAAATCAAACTTGGTAAGCTTACTGGTTTTCAGTGAGATATCAACAACACTTCCATTTTCTGGATGCTGAGAATCCTTATCAGCATCATCACTCAACACTGTTAAATTACTTCTTAGGTCTTTGACAGAGAAAGAGTCAATCTCCCCATTTAAACTATGACCAACATCAGTGTTTTCACTCCTGGTTCTATGGATTGCATCCAAATCACCTTCAAGGCTTAACTTTTCAACATCTTCACTCCACAAAGCCCCAGCACTAACTTTTCCTCCTTCCTCAAGAGTTTTTTGGGGGGGTTTCTCTTCGTCAACATTGACCGTATTTTTCACTATCTCATCAACATTTCCAAAACGGTACAAGATACTACCATCAGAACACTCTGACAAATGTCCAGAAGCAAAAGTTATTGGCATAATTTGGACAAAACTATTTAAAAAAAGGAAATTAGCTTAAGTAAGATGAATCTATAATATCAAACTAAAATAGGAGCTAAAAAGAGGAACCTTGGGGTTAAGTAAGATGGAAATAACAATGAAGAGGAAAGTAAATATAAAGCTGCAGAGGCGTTCCCTTACAGGCTTTTCCACCAGTCAAACAATGAATAGTGAATTAATGTCTTTTACTTGACGTACACTTTTTCAACTTCATCGCCAAAACATTAAACAGTTAACAATAACATGCCCTAATGTAAAACTAATGTGACTCTTGAATGTATAAATATAACTAAAAATGTCACGATATCGCACCTTGTCACTTAAGTACCCAAAACTAGGAACATAATGATCACTGAATCTCACCCAGAATCACAGACCCATCTCTATTAACAAGTTTGATTTAACGAAATTGCAGTCTGAAGAACTGAAGTGTGGGGATAAATTAGGAAAAAATGTATTTTTGGAATTACAAAATACCAACACAACTAAAATTTAATATAAGCTCAACAAGAACGAGAGAATCTTGAGAGTTAAGAAAGCATACCAGTTGCAGAGACAATATCAAAATCCTCAGAAACAGAATTCGTTGAGGAGCCTGAGGGTTCATTTGATTGGGAAATCATGCTAGCATGGTGGGCCACCCATCTCTTGGCACAACATGGAATTGTGTTACAGAATTGAAGTCTCTGCGATGATTTTGGCGAAACGTTCCGGCAAGAAATGAACAGACAGTGGAAGCAACAGAAGCTCGAAGGCTGAGATTTAAGAGAGCTGGAGAAGAGATGGGCCATCAGAATTTTACTTTCAAGTACAATGCTTAAGTGCCTCAATGGTTATGGGTTGGAATATTTTCAGAAATGGAAAGTGGGGAGATTGAGAAGAAGGACAAAAGTGAGAGTAACGACGAAGAAGAAGATGATCGAGAGAAAGCGAAAGCCGAAAGGAGTGTTCTGTGGATAAGGAAGGCAGAGCAGGGAGAGAAACAGAGGAACTATCATTGGACGTTGTGATTCTCTGTTCTGTGGTTGTTGGTATAATTGGACCTCCAGGATGCGTGGTTATGATTTTACGACATTTTTTTTTTTAATGATAAGATTAGTCAAATTTATAATAAACAAAAAATCCTATATTTTATTAACAAAAGGATAGGTATATTATATTATAAAAATAGAAAGGAATAGTTTTTTCTTGAAACATAAATATAGATTGAGATGTAAGTGAGTGAATATTTTTTATTTCAATTATTGGTATTTTAGAAAAATACCAATAAAATGTTTGTTTGAAAAATTTATTCAAAACCCAATTAAAATAAGAATTTTTTTGGGGGACCAACACTAAATGAATTAAAATGAGGATGAGAATTGACACGCAGATCAGTACAGATTCCAATTCATTTGATAAAATCATCAGCCTAAACATCTCGTTAATATTTCATAAACAAGTGAATATAAAACCATCCCTGCTCCTAAAACCAACAAAAACAAAAGTTTCACCATCATTCTTGGAAAATTAAATGATGTTGGCAAAGAAAAACCAAAGGTGAAGAACATGTCATTTGATATTATTTGGGAACGAAGGTTGGCCACCAATCTACTTAATAATGTATTCCAGCCAAGCCGATTTACAATTCATGAGCTCTACAAATTGTTGTGACTCGGCTTGGTTTGATCGTGCATATCAAATATTGAAATATGCTGTTCAATGAGACAGAAAATTTAATCGAACATTGCTGAAAAGTTTAATTTACTTATTTCACAGTTTACATTCCGTTTATGAACCCAATCGATAGAAAAACCCATGCAATACACGTGCCTGTGTCTGCTGTCTTGTTGTACTTATACACGCATTCCCGGGACTAGGAACAAAGTTTAGAGTTAAAATATGTAAGAAGATCCCATTAAGGATGATTAAAAGTGTAATTTGATTCAGTTTTGGTCAGCCAACCTAAACCAATCGGTTTGAATAAAAAATCACACTTGATCGATTTTTTAATAAGATCCGTTTGATTTGATTTTTAAGTGGTTTAGTTAAATTTGGTTTATAAATGAATCAAATTTTAATACTTTTTACCATATAAAATTATACAAGGCAAAGCATAATTTTTTATTCTTTTTGTTCTTTCATGTTCAATTTCAAGTTATATTCTTAACTTTATCATTCATGAATGAAAATGAACATCATATTTAAAATAAAAATATTTAAATTTTATTATTAATAAATATTTGAGTAAAAGCATTTGTGAGCCAGACGAGCTAAATTTTATTATAAATTGTTTTGACATCTATAATAAAAAGTAATTCATTTTAAATAAAAAAAGAAAATTTTTACATCTAAAATTATCCAAAGGATCATTGTTGAAGTAATGCCAGTAGATACATTAGACTCTAATAGCAAAATGAAGAAAGAAATAGTTAATAACTTTGTTAAAGTACTCACTTCGTCCCTATATATAAAAAGTCTTCTAAAACTTTTTTTTGTTCTTAAATATAAGAGTTATTGGTATTTTTTTAATAAATGGACCATTATACCCGTATTAAATTGAAAAGAAAAAAAAATAACTACTCTCATTAATTTATTTTGAAAAAAGATATTCATTTTTTATTCACAATAATTAAGGGCAAAATTGAAATATTACTGTGCTTTTAATTATATAACCAACTTTTATTAATTTGCATAATTCAATTAAAAATACTTTATATATAGGGACGGAGAGAGTATATTGGATTTGGATTGGATTTTAGTTGAAGTTAAAATTAAAAAAAAAAAAAAACACTAATAGCCTGATATTAATCGTAAAAAATTATATTTAAAAATATAAAAGCTATGATTCAGGTTTAGTTAAGGTTTCAAAGGAAAAAAAAAAATCAAAACTCAAACCAAACCATTTAGATTTCAATTTATAAAACCCAACCAACTTTTATTAATGATCAGTTTTATTTGGTTTTCATTATATTAGTTTGGTGTGGTTGATTTTGTTCGGTATTACTTAACCCTTAGATTCCATAAACGTAAGCATCTTTATAGGTGAAGCCTGGAGCATTGCTGTGTGTTAAGAAGCTTCTTCATGAGCACCCAGTTGCTCTTCATAGCATGGAAGATGGATTGAGAGCAAGAGACAGGTGGACTTCAGCACGGATTCCCAGACCATGAGTGGGCTGTCAAGCCATGGTCAAGAGCTGGTGAGAGCTTCAGCAATGCCGTGGCTAGCCGGGGTTATGCCAGCTACAGGTTCTTAGACCAATTAGGCCTCGCCAGAGTGATCAAGGATGAAGGTTTAAAATTCCAAAGGGGGAAAAGCTCTAGGCTTCAATGTGGCTGAGATCAAGGATGCTAGACCGATATGCTACTTTGGTCTTTGTAAAGCAAAGGCAAACATTACAAGTATGTATATAATTGAATTAAGAATAGATAGTTGCAAATAAACTTTTGCTTGTGCTCAAGGGCATAATTTAGGTAGAATTCTGTGTTTGCATTTTTGGCAAAGTACCAGCACAAAGGATTCTCAAAACATATATACATATATATATTTAGAAAATGTCCAGGTGACATTGAAGAATTTCAAAGCAAACACAAAACTACAGCCCAAGTTCTTCCCTCTATATGCACAAGGCTCAATGAGGTGTGTGGTTCTACTCAAGATGGAAAACAAAAATTGTACAGATAACTTGTTGCCATGATGAAAACTTTGTGAGAACTCAGAATAAGAGAATAGAAAGTCAAGTGCAATTCTGTTCATCCATCAACCTTGTCTCGACTAGTCCAATTGTTCATCTGGAAGATAATTTAGTGCTAAGTGACCCTAAGAATGCCTAAAAAAGCACAAAATTTAGATGATACATGAAACTAGAAGACTCGATCAGAAGTATTGCACAAGGAGATGCAGCAAAATCAGTTCAATGTTTAATGAGCAATGCATCTCTATTTATTCACTCCCACTCCCGGTAGCCATCAAGAACTCGCCCTCACATACAACTTCACCTCCAACATAAGCCTTCCCTTCCATCTTTGCTATCCCAAATCGCTTTTGCAGCTTGATAAGTGTCATTCTCATAACCAAGGTATCTCCTGCAATCACTGGCTTCCTAAACCGGACTTTGTCAATTCCGGCAAAAAAGAAATTTTCCCGAGAACCTCCCACTTCAGGTTGCAACATGACCAGCCCACCAACTTGTGCCATTGCCTGCATCAAGATACCACTTACCTTAATTACCACTTTCAAAGCGTAGGGAATTGTATAAAAAAGATTCGTTTTTTCAGACTTGCTTATTAGATGTGCAAGCAAGAGATATACTTGGAATATGGACAACGGTGGAAATGTTCTACTAAAAAATGCAGCTTTAATTCAAAGTCTTTAATTATATCACACGTTATATGTCCTTCTGAGGATATCATAAACAATAGATAAGAATATGTTAACTAGACTGTTTTGCAAAAGATATATCATGTTAAACATGGAGGGAGAGACATGTCAAGTACACTTTCCAGTATAACCTAACCCATTAAATGCTTATATTTATGGATAATGGATCTACGTAAGAAATTTTTCAAAATAAAACTAATAATGTACTCATCATAGATTTTTAAAATAAAAAGAAAAAAAGGAAAAAATTGATAAGCTTTCTGAAGAGATGGCTTGATGACAAATTATATATTTTTCATTGAAGAATTTTTTTTGGCCAACTATTTCTCCTTCAAGATAACCACGGACGACGATCTGCTCACCATGTAGATTTTTCAAAGCTTGAGGCACTGATAATTTTGACCTTTATGGAATGCAATTGTCCGAACAGATGCAGAGCTTGTCTCCCTAAACCTTGCTCTGTGCTTGGGCAACTCAGGAATCGGTATTACTAACAATTAGACCAAAAAGGGAAGAAGGGGGGAAAAAAACTCTCTTCAACGTTTTCAGGCTTTAGTGGGCTAACGGGGCCGTCATGGAGACCTTATAGACTTGGAGGCACTAACTATAAAGAGGATGTGACAATGTGAAAACGTGCAAGAGCTCTAGAAAAATATTGGGGCCCAAAAGTGAAAGCTATGATGTAAGTGATCTGGAAAAAAAATTGCACTTCCCGCAAAGCTTGCTCAAAGGTAATCCCCTTAGAATGTGGCTTTTTCACTAATTTGCAGAAACGTGAGCTTTTCTTGCTTGCAAATTTTGAACTTACTTTTGTTGAAATGAAATTTCACATGCCTTGCTACCGTAAATTGCAAAGACAGTTTACATCCCACAACAATGCCTTTTCTTCTGTCAAAAGGTACGAGTTCATTAAAAAAACACTTCTAGGGGTCACTGGCTGTTGTTTCCAACATTGTTCTGCATTTACAGAGTCCAACACATAGGACCTTGCCACCAAGAACGTTTTTGATGACCCAGATCCAGGATCAACTATTCTTAAGCATGACCAAGAACCAGTTATAGGTTCAAGGAAACCTGTTCTCACACCATGCCAAAGAACCAAATCAACCGATTATACTAGTGGCATAATCTTTTAGGAGAAGACAAATGGTTTCTATTACAACCACTCACCCTAGATATTGGGGGCACAAAAAATAGTTGAAGTCATTGGAAAGCTGATATCTAATAATCAATCAACATCAACATGCTAAAATTTTCAAAACTTAACTGAGACTTTTCTCCTCCATCCATCTAATGATATTTAAACCCAAAAACATGAGAACTCCAGAGGATACTGTGATCTTGAATCTTATGGAATTACAATCCAATATATTTTCTCCAACTAGTCTCAGATGTGTACTTTTTCAAAACCCTAATAAACTGATCTTTGGGAGTATGCAAAGCATTAAAAGTAAACAGCTTCCATTGGGCATAAAACTAAGGATGCGCATAATTAAATCACCAAATATTGATATGAAACTAATATAAAAGATAAAGAAATCTGCGAGAAAATATCACTAAAAAATAAATGTACAAGAAAGGAAGCATCGTGGACCTAATTATTACCTCAACCATGAGAACACCAGGCATAATTGGCCTTTCTGGGAAATGCCCAGGGAAAAAGTTGTCATTTATTGTTACATTCTTTATGCCCACAGCAGAAACTCCAGGATTGTATTCAATCACTCTATCCACTAGAAGAAACGGAAACCTAAAGTACAACAGCAGAAAACAAAGAAAATCAGGGTAACGTCACAACAAGGTCTGGCTCTAACCAAAAAAGGACTAAAACCCGATTTTGATCCTCAATTGTGACCCATTATCAACCAAGTCCTCCACAGATTCTTTTAAACACCTTGATGCTAACGAGTACAATTTCATTCCAATGACATCAACTTATAGGAACTAGAATAATACTGTGCAATCTTCAGTGGATCAAATATGAAACAAAGTTAAAGCTTTCAGTTTAGAGCGTAAAGTGATATACAAAAGTTCGTTTGGATAACCAAAATATGGTTGTAGTATAAAAGATCAACAATAAAAAAATATCAGAAAGCCAAAGATTTAAGTCACCTGTGGGGCAGAATGTCACGAATCTGATTGATATCCAAAACTGTCGGGAATGCAGGATACTCTGAAACAGCAGAACCCAGAAAACAAGTTGATCAGCAAGATAAGAAAGTTCAGGAGTCAGTTCAACCCCGAAAGCTCAGAAGAGGATAAGAATGCCTACTTAATTCAATTGGTTTATCATCTTCTTTTGGGCCATTAGCAGCATCCGAAGAACAAAACGTCGTGAATCGTCTTTTACCCGCTGTCATCCTCAGAGGGTTGGCCACAACAGAGGGAGATCCAATGTTCGAAAATCTGAGAACTGAGAATTTGGGACGATGCGAACCGGAAAGGTGAGAATTTGGGCAAGTAGAAGAGAGAAAGGCATTGGAAAAAGCAGAAGTTGCCATCTTTGAGCTTCACCGAGCGTGCTTACTTGCTTGGGTCTTGGAAGTGCTATAGGTGGAGCTGCATTTATCGAAGTTGGGGGAAGGAGGGAAGGCCGACAGAACAAGGGAACGCAGCGTCTGACGGAGATTTCAAAGTCGCTTTTTGAATTTCTTTCAAAAAAAAATTGTAAGGGAAGGGCAGATTGGTGAGACTGCGATGGTAACAGCAGATTTAAACGGGTCGGTTATCTGGATCCGACAGACAATTGGTCACTTGCCTTGTTGCATTCTTGAATTTGCATTGAGAAGGATGACATTAAGGCCCAAAAAAATAAATTAATAAAAGTCAGGTTGCTACAAAATTTGTTGAAAAATAAATTTCAAACATGAATTCAGAAATTTTAATTAAAAATTAAAATGAGACATTTAGTCATTATCGCAACTCTTAATTTACAATTGAAATTTTTATTTGCATAGTTTTTAAATTAGTATTTTCAATTTATTTTTGAAAAAATTATCAAAAACTTAGCTACTATTAATATTATTATTATTATTATTATTATTATTATTATGATCTTTGAGAATTTATTATCATTCTCCCTTTACATTTTGGATTACTATTTTTTTATGAATTTGGATTACTATTTTTAAAAAATATGCAAAACATGCTCAAGAGGCTTGTGAGTTGTGACCTAATGGTACATAATTTAAGGGTGTTCATAGGCTCAATTTGGTTTGGTTTTGGCCAAAAACCAAACCAAACCTAACCATTCAATTTACTCATAATTATGACCTGATCGATTTTTATGGAGTTCAATTTCATTCGGTTTAATTTTCGATTTGGTTAAGGTCTGAATCAAGTTTCAAAGTACTTATTTAATTTTTTTCTTTTTTTTCGTCTTCATAATAGTACTATGTATTAAAATTAAATCTAATTCTTTTAGTTCCTCTTTTTCATAAATAGAGGTATAAAAATATAATAAAATTTCAATGTGATGATGATAATTAATCATAAAAATTGATCTAAGTTTTTAAGATTAAAATTATTTAATATTACATATTTTCATTCAAGTTCTTTGAAAATGTTCATCTATGTATCTATTTTTTAATAAATAATAAAAAAATTATTATACAAAATTAAAAAAAATGCTTCTTGTAGATAAATTGAATATTGAGGCTTTCAAGTTGTAAATAATTAAATGATGGTCATAGCATCATTATTATAATTATTTAATATTATGTATTTCCATTCAAGTCCTTTAAAAATGTTTATCTATTACTATAAAAAAATTCAAAGCAAAATGCTTCTTGTAAATAAATGGTTATATATTTTATAAATAAATAAGTAATATTTTTTAATTAAATTTGGCTCGGTTTGATTCGGTTTCTTATACTCAAAATCAAATTTAAACCAAATCAGTTCTCATATCATAAAAACGGAAGCAAACTTAATTGTTGTTCAGTTTTGATCAATTTCTTTTGATTTGGATTAATCATTTCAGTTTGAATCGATTTTGAACACTTTTAATTTATATTGCAGGCAAAATCCCATGAGGTATACTTGTACTTAAAAAATAAAAAGACGAAATATAAAAATGTATAAACTAAAATATAAACACATTACTTTATATATCTTATGGGAAGTATCGACGATTTTGAAAACAAATGGTCAAACGAGTTGGTCTGCCAGCTAGTCACGATCGCAACCAGATTTTAACCATTATTTTTGATGTTAAATTGGATTGGGCCGCTTGAGATTGAAAACTGTTTTAAAAGTGCGAACTGAGATAGTACTTGAAAATTAGGTATGTCAAATTTTTTCTTTTCAATTTTGACCCTAAAAAAAAGCTCCCTCATATCAGATACTTCATTTGGTGTGTGTTTTGTTATACGTGGCTTGTTAATTTATAATCAAATTGAAATATTTGGCTTTATTTTCAAGTTGTAAAATAATTTTATATTTATTTTTTATATTTATATTATTATATAAATATGAAATATTTTTATTTAATTATCATCTCACCGGTTGAATTACTGATCCGATCAATTAAATTATGAGAACCGTGAATCACTAGCTTTTCTGATTTAATTTCTGAAGCTTTTAAAACATTGGAATTAATATATACCTTTATTTTCTAATTTTATATAAAATTTTAATTTGATTTTTAAATTTTACAAAGTATTTTTTTTCACCCTCCAACCTATTATTCTCTTGTACCATTGTTATTTCTATTACAATATTTAGTGATTCATTATATATGACATGTGCAACTAATTAGGTTCACAATACTATTTAGTGATCCAACACACACACACTTTAAAGAGTTAATAAGTTGAATTCAGGTTTTACTAAATTACATTCTATTTAAAATGATCTTGTACTTAAAGAAGTATGGGTTAACAAAATAATAAGTTAGTCTCTCTCCCTATATATAATAAGTTTTTTGGAACTTTTTGTTTTCCTAAATATATAATGTTGTCAGCACATTTTTTTAATAAATAGACCATTATTCCTTTATTATATTGAAAAGGAAAAAAATAAGTATTCATATATTTACTTTGAAAAAAAATATTCATTTTTTATTTACAATAATTAAAGACAAAACTAGAATATTAATGTGCTTTTAAGTATATAACTAACTTTTATTAGGTTGCATGATTTGGTTAAAAATATCTTATATATAAAGATGGATAAAGTAGCCCATTGAAATCATAAGTTCATTATCATGCATCTTTAAATTATCAAATGGGGTAATGAGCAAAATGGATCTTGAAGAATTGCGTGAAAAGCGCTCTAACCCTAAATTGTTAAAATGTGCAAAATGAACCCTAAATTTTTAAATTCATAGCAAATTAAATCTTGCTATTAACTTTTTGTTAACGCCATTACGTTCACCATCACTATTCACCGTGGCCCTAGTTAAATGCTGACATGACAGTTTCCTATTAATGTGTCATTTGTTAATTAGTGCTACAGACCCTAAAACTATCATGCAAGTAGCATCTTGGATTCTAAACTTTAAAATTTTGAGCAAATTATCTCCACTGTTTATATATAAAATATTGACTATTATGTATATCAAATTAGCCTCAGTGTGATTCGCCGCGGTAAATGCATTATTAGCTGCGGCGAACGACCTATAATTTGTAAATGACATTCTTTTGCCCTTTTTTTTGTAATGTTTTTCAAATGATTGATATCTCATACTTTCGTATACTCTATAACTTTAATTTAGTCTTATTTTAAATAATTTTTATTTATTTAATGGTGAAAACTTGGGATCCTATTCAAAAAGAAACTTAAATATGAGATTTTAATTAATCGATTAATTTGAGTTTTAAATTTGTTGATGAGATCGTCAACTTTTGCATCTATCATCTGTAAAATCTTATGATACTTAAATTTTTTTTAAATGAAATCCCAAGTTTTCACCATTAAATAAATAAACATTATTTAAAATAAAAATAAATTAAAGTTATAAAGTATACAGAAGCATAAGATACCAATTGTTTGGAAAAATATTGTAACAAAAGGGCCAAAAAATATCATTTCATAAAATTATGGCTTGTTTAACATGGCTAATGATGTGTTCATTGCAGTAGATTATGTTGAGGTTAATTTGGTATACATAATAATTAATATTTTATATATAAATGATGAAAGTAATTTACTCAAAATTTCAAAGTTCAAAGTCTAAGAGGCTATTCGTGTAAAGTTTAGGGTTTATAGCGCTAATTAATAAATGATATATCAATAAGGAACTACCACATCAGCATTTGACTAGGGCTTACGGTGAACCAATAATGGTGAATAGTAACAACATTAATAAAAAATTAACGATGGAATTTAATTTGTTATAAATTTAAAAGTTTAGGATCCATTTTAAATATTTTAAAAATTTAGAATCTATAATATTTTTGTACAATACTTCAAAGTTTATTTTGCTCATTAACCTTTATCAAATTAACAAGTTTTTTAACATAACTAACAAGTAAGGATTAAAAATTAACAATTTAATTTTTTAACAATTATGAATAACTAAAACCATAAGTTGTGCAAGGGGTATAACAAATATAAACAAATATATATTTTGACCGGGCAAGTAAGTTTTCCTTTTTATGAAGAAGAATAAGTCAAAGGTAAAATTTAAAAAATGAAAAAACATTTGCATTTTCATTCTAAAGTTTGTCAATAGTCAATTATTTAATTGACAAGACAAGTCAGCGTTCTAATAAGCAAGAATAACTAAAATTATATGTTGGGTAAGGTTTGTAACAAACCCATTTGCATTTTCATTCTGAATTCTGATAAGAGTACTGTTAACATATTATTGATAGGTATATGACCGTATGAGTCAAGCAAAGTTCAGATATTCAAATCATTTTGCGTAACAAGTTTATTTCATCTCTATTCTTGAAACTTCAAGTCTATTTTCAGATTTTTTTAATCCTTATTCATAAATAAAAAGTTATGGAGCCTTTCATTGAAATCTTTCCAAAAATCTTGGCCAAATAATTCCACAAACTCATAAATTTTTCAAGAAAAATGATAATAAAATTTCTTTAAAATATATAAATAACAATTTAATCTCTTAAAATGATATAATTTCCTTGAAGTCTTTAGAGATTTTTTTTGTTATTAATAAATTTATAAAAATTATCAAATTACCTTTATTAAAAATAAATAATTTATAATTTTTATTTAAATATTTACAATTTTTTTATATTCATAATAATACAACATTAAATAAGAAATTTAATATGCGAAGTTGTGATTTAAGAAAAAAATTATAAATATTTAAACAAAACTTGTGAATCATTTATTTTTAATAATGGTAGTTTAATAATTTATATAAATTCATTAATGTCAGAAAAATTTTTAGAGACTTCAGTAGAATTATAGAATTTTGATGAACTAAATTATCATTTATATATTTCATAAGAATTTTATTATTATTTTTCTAATTTTTTATTGCTCAAAAGTATTCTTTTATTAAAGATAATCTTATTGAAAAAACAATCAAATATTAAATATGAGTATATCTTTTATTAAATATTCAAATATTAATTTGTCGTGTCATGAGAGGCTAATTCTTTCTATTATGATCAATTTTGGTACAACAATGAAAACTTAAAAGCATAACTAAACAATAAACTGCAAAATATGGAATTATGGTATTGAACCAATTACAATAAAATAACAAACCTTTAACATAAGCATATGACGCAAAAAATAATACTATAAACTATTTGTCCAACATTAATTATCCAACATAGATAATGCAAATTACAAAACACAAGCATAATGTTCAACATCCTGCAAACTAATATTTTTCATTGTCCAACATTCATCGATAAAACTCGGTAAAACAAATATATTGTCCAACTTCAACATCAAACATAAAAATAAAAATCATAAAAATAAATAAATATTTTAGGCCTAATCAGGCAACATGGTTGAGAATGTTGGCCCTAAACCTTGCCCAAACTAAGCTTTGGGTTAGCCTAACCATGCCTGAAAGACTTTAGGCCATTTTTTTCCTCTTTTGGATCAGGCAAAAAACTGTTTGGCCAGGCTAAGTTTGTCAGGCATTCAAGCCAAGTGTTTAGCCCTAAGTAGATGTTCCAATAGCTTATTATTCTCTCATACCATAGTTGTTATTTGGATGGATGACATTTAAGGCCCTCTTAAATGAATTTATCACAAAAGGGCTCATTAGTTTTGCATTAGATTTTTTTTTTTGGAGAAAATTTATATATTTAGTCTTATATACTTAATACGCTTGTTTTCAATTAAATCAAAACATATGAATCTTGTATGGATTATTTATTCTATAATAAATTTTTGTTATTAATTTTATTAACATATTAATATGCACTTGTTATCACTTGATTGGATATAAATATATAAAATATATAAGGTTAACTATATAAGTCTTACTTATTTTTTAAAAAACATACAAATTGCTGTTAAAAGATGAACCTTGACTTGTCAAATTTTTAAGAAAAAGCTAACAAAAAATATAAGTTAAGTTTCAGTTTTTAACAATAATATATATGTAATATAAGATAATATCTAACATAAAACTCATGAATCCTTATTACAATAAATTTCTTTAAGAGGGCATTAAATGTCATTCTCCCTTATTATTTCTATTACAATACTTGTTGATTCCTTTTATGACATGTGCAACTTATTAGATTCACAACACTATTTTAGTGGTTCATCACACACACTTTAAGGAGTTGATAAGTTGAGTTTAAGTTTTATCAAGTGTTGTTATGGATAAAATGACATTATATTTTGAAAGAATATGTTAAAATAAGTAATATATATTGAATAAAAGAGTTAGGTTAGATTCTTACTAGATTTAAGCATAGTATAATCTACTTGACTACCCACATAAGTTTAGACTACTAGAGTTTAGACTATAGTGTATCGCAAACGCACCAAAGAGAGAAAGGGAGGGAGAGAGAGAGAACAAATTAGAGAATTGTTTGTTTTAGTGTGTGTTCTGCTTCCAGCCACCTATCTCTGTTAATAGTGGAGGGAGGTTGTAACAATACCCCTAGCTTATTGAATAATGGGCATTAAGTACTGGGTCAGCAGTCCATCATTGCATCGTAGCTAGCTTTTTCCATGGTAGTTCACACGTTATCCCTCAACCCTTCAGCATCTTAGGACCTTCTAAGACTCAAACCCCTAATTTCTCTTACATAGTGAAGTTGTGGCTAAGTCTCGTATCATTAAGTATAACCCGTGAACTACCACAAGGAAAGCTGGCTGCTGTGTAGTTATAGATTGTTGGCCCAATACTTAAGGCCCAGCGTTCAAGAAGTCGAGGGTATTGTTACATAAAAGGAGAACTCAATGGTACGAGAGTTAACAATAACTTTGTTATATAGGAGAGATTGAAAATTCGAGTCTTGGAAGGTCCCAAGATATCGAAGGGTTGAGGGATAACTTGTGAATTATGATAGGGAAAGCTAGCTACGGTGTAGTGATGGATTGTTGGCTGAATACTTAAGGCCCAGCATTTAAGAAGCTAGGGTGTACTATTACAAAGGTCACCTCTGAAAAAAGAAATCAAATCAGTAATAATTCGCCTTATTATTGAGGAAATAAATTAATTGAAATAATCACTATTATTACATAGGATTACTTCTCCTTTTGAAATTCAATCAAAAATTATTTAAATTAATTTTAAATTCTAGTTAACTTATTATTACTAGATTTATATCACATCTCACTGATGGTTTGTCAAGGGTGAATTTTAATGCAAATTCCAACATATTAAAAGAAGTATGGGTTAACAAAATAATAAGTTATATTCATTAAAATCACAAGTTGGTTATTGTGCATCATCAAATTATCAAATTACCAAGTTTTTTGACTAACAAGTAGGAGTTAAAAATTGGAAAGTCTAGTTAGTTTTTTTTAACAAGCATGAGTAACTAAAATCGCAAGTTGTGCAAGGACATAACAAAAACATTTACATGGGTGTGGGAGTTAGATTGGGAATAATTTTTTTTTTAAAAAAAACAAACACTCGCATTTTCATTTTGCAATAGTTAATTATTTAATTGACAAGTCAAGTCAGCATTTAATAAAGCATAAATAACTAAAATTATAAGTTGGGTAAGGGTTATAACAAACCCATTTGCATATTCATTCTAATTCGATAAAATAAAAGTACTTAGTTATTCTTTTTCGTTATATTTATAATTCATTTTTAGTATATCTTATTTGAATTAATGAAAACTTTAAGTTTTATTAATTTTATCTTAAAATTTATTAAATTTTCATTTCTACCCTCTAATAATGACAACAATTCTTTTAATAATTTTTTCTAATATTTAATAAAAACAAAAAGATAAATATAAATATAAAAATAGTAAAATATCTTATAAATATGATTAAAATTCAGTATTTTTTCCTATCCTATAAAAAAGACTGGGGGAGTAACATATTATTGATAAGTATGTGTTATTTAAGTTGTTTTGTGTAACAAGTTTATTATATCTCCATCCTTAAAACTTACATGTGTATTTTTAGAATTTTTTATTTGTAAATAAAATATTACATGCCCTTTAATTGAAATTCTTTTAAAAATATTGGCCCTATAATTTCACAAACTCATGATTTTTTTATTATTTATAGATATTCTTTTATTGAAAATACTTTTATTTAAAATATAATTAGATATTAAACCTGATTTGTCATTGTAATTTTAGTTTATTTTATTATTATTTTCTTGATACAATTTTAGTTTATTTTTCATGGTCCTTCCTGGGCATTCTCCAAAAGCCAGACCAAGCAAGGGGGTCCACTGCCAGCTTAAACCCGGCCCAGGATGCCAATTACCAAATAAGGACACCACATCTTATTTCCCTCTCCTTTTATCAGTTCTGCTTTTCTCCTTCCTTCCGCCTCTTTCAAGTCTGTCTTCCTCCGCGACTGTTCTCCGACTTTCCGTTAGCACTTTTGTATCAGCCTCTCTCTCGCTCTCTACACTGTACAGTCAAGCAGTCAAAATTCCTCCTCCTAAAGTAATCATCTTTCTCTCTTTCTCTCGGTGAGTGAGGAGGTGGAATTCCTTTCCTCCGCCATGAATTTCCACCTCAATCACAACAATTCCTCTCCTTCTTCCTCCAACTCCTCCTCCACCCCTAACCCCCTCAGGGATACCCCATCTGCCTCCCTCACCACCACCGCCACCACGACGACCACCGCCACCGCCGCCGACGACCCAATGCACTCCTGGTGGGAATCTATTTCCAAGGCTCGCTCCCGCATCCATGCCCTCGCTACCATCCTCCCTTCTTCTTCCTCTGATTCTCTCATGACCCTCGCCGATTCCGACCGCCCTGCCCTCTCTCTCCTCTCCTCCCCCCTCGCCTACTCCGCCATCGCTGATTCTCTCTCTTCCCCTGATTCTGGAGCCGGTTCCGATCCCCTCTGCCACTGGCTTTACGATACCTTCCTTTCCTCTGACCCCCATCTCCGTCTTGTCGTTCTTTCGTATCTCCCACTTCTCTCGGGTCTTTACCTCACTCGAATCCACAATTCCTCTCCCGATTCGCCTTCGCTTCCTTCTCTGTCTGGCTTCGAGGCTGTTCTCTTGGCTCTCTATGCTTCTGAGACCAAATCTCGTGGCGGAAAACCTGTTGTGGTTACAATTCCAGATCTGTCGCAGCCTTCTATTTACCACACGCCGATGAAGAAACCTGGTGGTAATGGGTTTAACCAAACGAGGCCTTCCGTTGGGGTTATGTCTGCTCCGCTTGAGCCTATGGTTGCGGTGAAATCGACCAAAAGGGCTTGCATTGTTGGTGTCGCGCTTGATTGTTACTACAAGCAGATCTCCCAGATGCCTAGCTGGTCTAAGCTTGAATTTTGCCAATTTGCTGCTGGTTGGGCCGGGCAGGATTGTCCCTGTAAGGGAGAGTTTGATGGCGGGGAAGAAATTAACGCTAACGGGCTTTCCAATGGCGTCGATTTGAAGGAGGGGGATGTGGAAATTGAGGAGGAAGTTGTGAAAGAGATGGAGAATTTGGCAATTCAAAGGTATGATTTTGCATCTGAATCTTCCAAAGGGAGTAGAATTCCTCTTCCTTGGGAGCTTTTGCAGCCAATTTTGAGAATCCTGGGACACTGCTTGTTGGCTCCATTGAATTCTCAGGAAGTCAAGGATTCTGCTTCAGTTGCAGTAAGGTGTTTATACGCTAGGGCGTCGCATGATTTGGTGCCTCAGGCAATTCTGGCTACAAGGAGTCTCATCCAGCTAGATAAGAGGACTCGGGAGGCTGCCAAGGTGGTGGCTTCAACAGCAAGTGCATCATCAAATGCTAACACGCCCAGCAAAGCCAAGAAACCTGAAATTCTTTTGGTCTCAAAGTGACTGGTGGAAAGGTTCAAAATGTGCTTGTGAAGAAGATGATGATTGCTGTATAGTGACTAAATCAGTAACAGATCGAGAGTGTTTTGTCTAGGCTTCATACTGTAAGAAGAATCCAGTGTTTGTATCATAGAACGATAGTTTGTGCCTTTTTAAGTTATATATGTTTTTTCCTTTACCCCAAATGAATATTTAGTTGTTTTGACATTGTTCTTTATAGTCTTGATTTATTGCTATCATTTGTTTCATTGGTGTGTCTCGTTTGATTTTAATGCGTACTTGTTGTGCAATTCTATATGTTGCTTTACTTTCTCTGAATTGTTGGTGTACTCTGTAAAGATTGAATACATTAAACGAGGCATTGTTTATGATTCATAATTTGCTCTTGATTGGTTTTGCTGATGATTGTTTTTCTGGGTTTGAGTAATCTTTTTAGAGTTCAAATCTTATCTTTGAATATACTGAGTGGTCTTTGCAGGTCCTATGTAATACTGGTTGTCTGGTAAAGATAAAGTCTATGTTTTCTGTTCCTTATTTTTTTCAAGCTTCATATATGACTTATTCAGGTTTTAGACATATGATTTACTATCATCTTGCTTGTATCTATATTGCTGATCAGGACCTTGATCCACTTAAATTTCTGGTTTATGTGTTTTTATCCATTATTGTTCCTATCGAGGAGGCATTTATGTTCTCTGGTGTTGTAGATATTATAGTACAAGAAGATGATATGGTATTTAAGATTCTCATGTTTGATATGACAATCTTCAATTGTTATATAAAGGATATAAATGACATTCTATAGAAGTTTACGAGGCTTAGCATTTAGCTTGTAAGATCCCCATTGTTTTTTTTTTAGGGGTATGAAATACTACCCAAAGTTGTGTTATCCTATGGCTCCTAGTATTCTGAATGACACCAGGCATGTTGGATACCAGTGTGCCAAACACAGGCATTTTGGATTCCTTTTGACATTAAGATACCAAGGTGAAGATGATGATTGTATTAGATGGGTTCTTTGTCAAAGTTCACTGTTCACCTAAGCCAACATTGTTATACTCACGCCTAGGCCTCTGAAGAATCTGGTCTGTGACCTAGAATAGATTCATGAGTGAGGTGAGTTTGCTCATTCACTGTTCATAGTACTTAACAATTGTATACTTACAGGATAACCGCAACCTATATCCGAACCCTATATATCTTTGATGATAACTTCTGCTACGACCTTTGATTTTTGTTTTCATGATCTGGTGCCTTCAGACTTTTTACTTCAGGTTTCGAGAATCCCTTAAACTTCAATTGTTTGTGGGAGACTTGCAAGATCATAATAAAATATATGATGGTTACATAGAAGTTAATGAAAGCGATAGTCGTTGGAATAACTAGAAGTTAGAAGACACCATGATGAACAGTACGCTCTAGGCTAACTGAATTCCATGTCATGTGGCTTTTGTTGGTCTCAAATTTTCAAGGTTAAATGAGTAATCTGCACAACAAGAATTGTTTGCTGGCGGCAGAAGCTTCAATTGGCCCTGTCTAGTTTCTACCCTGTGATGTTGCTCTTTATTATACACAGCGCTTTTGGCCTGGTACTGCTGGCATGTGTCGGAACAATTAGTTATATTTTCAACCAGGATTTAGATGAACACCCAAAAAACCTGGAAAGAAGGAATCTGAATAATGTAGTTATTTCCTGCTGAACATGAGGAATTTCAATATCCTTTTTTTTAGTATTTTTTTTTCTTTAGAAAATCATAGTGAAAGGTATTTCAAGTACATAATAATGTCAGTTGTGTTTTTCTTTAGGAATGAAAGTTTTGAGAATCTGGACTTGAATATAAACACGTGGAGATGTGCCATGCTTAGTTGTGCTCTCTCTCTCTCTCTCTCTCTCTATGCATATATATGCCCAAGTTTGACAGGTCAACGTTTCTTGTGGAATGTTAGTACTTTATGGGTTACCCTTCAAAGTTCAAACTCTTACATTCATAATGCTGGTTGACTTCTAGAGCCCAATGCTTGTAATGGAATGCTTCAATGGGGTTTAGTCTATGTTCATGTTTGCATCACGAATTGTTGGTTATATGATATGGTGCACCCCTCCTGTTTTTCAGAATGACAAGTGCTGTCTTGTATTTGAAAATCTGAAAATTTGAAGCAATTTATGATGTTTCAAGTTTTTTTATTTTTAATTAGGTCTTGAACAAATCCCCGCAGAAAAGTGACAACTTGGATTATGTCATAGCACAGAAAGTTTCACGTCCACGGTGAAACATTTTACTTTTAATCTTTATATTTTTTTTTTCAATATTTTAAATTTTTAAATTTTTATTTTTTATTATTTTGGATCCTTTTAAGGTTTCTATTCTTTGCTACTAGGGGGATCTAAAACAATGGAAAACAAAAATGTAAGGATGTAAAATATTCAAAAAAAGGTAGAAAGGCCAAAGCAAAACGTGAGTAAAGTATAGAGATCAAAAATTATGTGTACTCAAAAATTTAACATCTATCTAAATTAAAATTTAATGTTCGTTGTACTAATCAATCAGTATAACTATTAATTTATGTAAATGCGTGATTCAAACTGATGGTCTAGCTTATCTCCAATTTATAATGCCTTGGGGCTTGCCACGGATGCAAGCCTCGTGTGGCACTAAACAAATGAAGCAGTCGTCTCCGGTCTTAAAAAATATTCACTTATATCATATATAATTGATTATTATTTTTTCATTAAGTATTGATATTAATGATATATTTTCATTTGTAATTTATTACTTATTTATATCCTATATGTATAACCAGTCATGAAGAAATGTGAAATGAAGATAGATGAATAAATAATACTTCATTTGGTCTCTATTATAAGATGATTTTTATTATTTTACTGAAATTAAGGACTGACAGTTAACTCATTTAATGTTTAAAATAAAAAAAAAATTCAATTTTACCCTATTAAAAATAGAGAGATACACAATATTAGATGATGAGTCATAAAATTAAATTTACAATAGAGATAAAATTAAAAAATTATAATAAATGACCTTTCATGTGTTTTATCTTAAAAATTAAAGAATCTTTTAAAAAAATATCTTATGATAAGGATCGGAAAGTGAAAGGAGTAACATCTCATAAATAATTTTGCCTTTAACCCCAAAACTTCCGCGCAAGCACTATCTGCATCTTTAGGATTTAGGATGGTGCCCAAAAAAAAAAAAAGAAAAAAAAAAAAAAGAAGCACTGATGATGAGACATGCTGAGCTTGACTGTATGGTGGAACTGCATGCAATTGTTGAATGGTAAACAGAATTTGACTTTTTAGCTTTGACAGTATTGAATGTTTCGTTCATGTTTTCAAGTGATCATGACGGGAAGTCACCAACAGACTGTTAGCAGAAGGGGTGACCCAATTTTGGAGAATAGGTGACGTGGCCATTAACTGTTAATCTAATCCGAATATCAAAATGCTGCATTGAGTACCCTTGCCCATGGGGACGAAATTGTTTATACAGTATTTTCATAGCCATGTAAGCAATTAATAATAGTCTCTTCATCTTTTGACTTGTGAAGTGCTCCTTCTCATCCTCATTATAAATTATTAATTATCTTTAACTAATTCACAAAAACTAAAAAGAATTTATTATATCATTGAAATTGTTTGCAAATTACTTTAATAACCACTTTCACCCTCAATAGAAACCATAAATTTTAAAAATAAATATTTATCTTCTCATTAGAAATTAAGAAAACGAAATATTTAAAATAAAGTAATTAGTACTGTACAAATTTTTGCAAAATGACTTATATTATGAACTAAATAATTTTTTAGAAGGCATTTTATAATTGGGATATACAGGAGTAGTTGGTAATAAACTTGACATGTGTTATCATGATAGATTTATATATTTACAAATTATAGATTGTGATAATAAATAGACTTCTAGATTCTGATAAATAAGCATTGTCCTTTGAATAGTAGTAAGATGAGTTTTTTAACACACAAAAATAATTAGATGAGTGAAATTTAATTTTTTAACTTTGTGAGCTATGTATCAAATACTTATTAATTGGACCAATAATCATTGGCCTAGTGGGATGATTTCAATTGAAAATAAAAGTACCAACAAGATTACGGATGTTAGACACAAGATTTGGTGTTTGGGGAAGAGGAGGAAAACAGTATTGGGGTGATAATTTTATAAGGGTCTTCTTCATAATTAACACGGTAATTTTTATTTTATTTTTTTGCGTAAGAAGCAAAAAATTGGTCCATTGGCAAAAAAAAAAAAAATCTTTTGGTCAATAAATATAAACTAAATTTTTGAAAATTTGAAAGTATGGCCAATTTACATTGATATATAAAAAATTTATCATTAAAAATTTAATAATTTATAAGAGATTTATCATTGATATACAATATTATATCATAGACAAATATAATAAATCGATCATAATATAAAATATAATAAATATTATGTTATTTACTTAATTTGATCTTATAATATAAGTTCTATCTGTGAAAGTCCCATTATTTTTATAGTGTTGCTAGAATTGCTATTATTTTTACTATAAAAAAAAGAACTACTATTATTTTTTCTTTTCAAAGTAGGGCTATAAAAATCAATTTTCATCATTAATAAATGTCTTTGGGAAAGCTACTCTCAATTAAGTCCAATAATGCTTGAATTTGATTTAATCAAATAATCATATAAAAATATATGTTTTTTTAATTTTCAATTAAAAGTAATAATCTAGAATTGTTTTCTAGGTTTGAAGAAACAATTAAAAAAAATCAACCTTTAAACACCAAAATCCACACATCAAAGTATATAATAAAAAAAATACAATCTAACATGTATACTATTTCATATTTCACTTTGTTATTATTTCAATTTGACATTTGACAGATTGAGAACACAATACAATTCATATAGCATGAACAAACTATATGAAGCATTACTTTTTGCTTCTGCTTGTAAACTAGCCAATAACCCTAGTTTCTGTCCACATTTTTTTGGTCCTGACTTCTCTAGATTCATACAAAGCACATAAAATAGGTCTACTTTAGGGAGAATAACACTAAAGTCCCAGAGTAGGGATTTTATGACAGTTAAACTTTTGATAAAATTTTTTGAAAATTAAATTATAAATGTTGATGCAAAAAGTTATGACATGAATTCCAACTACAATCATATTTATAATTGTATGAATTAATATTTATAACTTTTTTCATAAAATTTTGTCAAGAACTTAACTGTCATAAATTTATTGTTTTGGACTTTAATGTTATTCTCCCTTTACTTTATTTGCGTCTAGACAGGTCAAAACTATTTCATATCTAGTTGAAAGCAGAACATTTCTTTCTAATTTCACCTTTATTACCAGTTAAGACCTCAATGTTGCTCATCTTTACCATAGCCTTGCCAAACTCCACATTGAATATCTTCCCTCCCATGTACCTTTGAACAAAGGGCTTTGTGGAAGCATCACTCCACAGTACTTGATCAGACTGCAGAATTCCTTGCCCCTTCTTCAGATTGTTGAAGTATGATGTGTCGAACCGGTTCTGGCTCCCGAAATCGAGCGCCACCCGGTTGAAGCCGTCGCCATTTTGAGGGCAAAGTGATCGGAGTTGAGGGAGGAAGGAAGGGTTGATGGAAGGGTCAGGATTACCATTTCCGTCGAAGTTGTATAGTCTGTTGGTGAAGAATAAGCAGGCTGTAGTTCCAATGGTATGCCCTCCTATATATATATATATATATATCAAATTAAAAAATAAATTAATTATGATTTGAAACATAAGTGTAGGTTAATATTGCATTTCATCCTGGGAGAATAACAATTAAGACCCATAAAAACAAATTAATAACAATTAAAGTCTAGATAATATTTTTTTAAAAAAATTTGTTTCAAATATAAATTTAAATAATTATAAATTTAGGAGTTCTAATTACGTATAAGATATTTAAATTTTAAATGTAACTCTTAGTTTACAACTAGAATTATTATTTGAATCATTATTTAAATTTTTTTCAGAAAACTTTGTGAGAAAACCTAATTATTATTAATTTAATGTTGTGGGCTTTCTTATCATTATATTCTCCCTCTCATCTTGGTTTAGAGCTTTGTTGGCTTATCCTATATCTTCATAAACACACAAAATAAATAAATAGGATGTATTTAGAGATAAAGACAAATAATACAAAACCAGTGGGCTCATATATATATACCGAATTACAAGACGCCATGTTGTGAACATATCATCTTTATCCATAATTTATAATAATTTTCTTGAACTTGAAATTAGTTAAGGTAAAATAACATAAACTGAGTAAAATTTTTGAATTTCTTATTATTGATTCCTAAATATAATTAATAATTATTAGTAGCTAATCACATGAAAACATTGAAATTCATAAAGATAATCAAATAGTAAAGAAGCCATGAACATATGTGTTTGCTTTTCAAATATGCAGTGTACGTATATTGCTTGTTCTGAACAAAAAAAAAAAAACCTCATAATTTTTTCATCTTGGTTTAGAGCTTTGTAGGCTAATCCTATACATTGATAGAGTGTATTTAGAGATAAAGACAAATAGAAAAAAAAAACGGTGGGCTCATATTTAATTATAAAATAAGACGTCGAACTCATGAGTTATGAGCATATATACGATATTTTTATTCACAAAACCCAAAGGGAAACTTTATAATAATTTCCTTGAAGTTGAAAAGTAGAATAACATATAAATTAGTAAAATTTTTGAATTTCTTATTATTAATTCTTAAATATAATTAATAATTAGTATAAATAATTTTCAGTAGCTAATCACATGTCAAACATTGAAATCCATAAAGATAATCAAATCACGTGAAATCAAGTAGTTTGGATTTTATACCACAGTATATTAGAATAAGGGAGACAAATAAATAAAGGAATTAGAAATCTATATAGAGTCTCTTCTTCCTCTACTCGTTTTTTGTTAAAAAAAAAATTCAAGTAAAACAATATATACTAATTCATTTATTGTAAAGATGATAATGTCCCAAAATTCCTTCCGGGTGTGAGGTCACGGGTATATGAGCTTGTGGTGTTTAGTTGTCATTAATAGTTTTTTTTTTTTTTTTAAGGAGCACATAGTGTTTATCTATTTTTTAATTGGCCAAACACATCGTGGTTGTCTATTATGGATAGGTACCATCCACATATGGCAGTCAATACTTTGTTTTTATTTTATTGTTAATATTCTATAATGTTTATTGAAACAGGTCAAAAATATAAAATAAAGATGATATTTTAATTTCTATTTTTTTAATTTTAAGAAATAAAAAATTAAAACTAAGTCGGTTCAAATTAAATTTTAATACTCTATAAATTGCCAGAGTAAGAAATTAAAGGATTGATTTACAATTACTTAAAAAATATGAGTTATTATAAATTTTATTACATAAATATAATGCAAATTTTTTAAACCTTTTTTATATTTAATAAAAAAATTTATATATAGTAATTAATACATATTTTTCAATTTTATCTCTTAATTATTATTGTTTAAATTTCTAGACAAAATTTATTTTGATATTAATTATAAAAAAGAAAAATTGAGAAGGTATATATATATATATATTACAATTTTTAGGATATAACAATTATTTCTTAATAAACAAGAAGTTGGTTATATAAATTTGACTTATATCAATGATTGGAGTAAATTTATACACACACCAGGAAAAACACATGTATAACAACCTATACATAGTTTTCAACAATTATGAATAATAATACTTCCTCCATTAAAAAATATAAAGCATCTTTTAAAAAGTTGAATATTAAAAAAATATAAGATATTTTTAGTCTTTTGAGGTATAATTATTGCTTTTTTTTTCAAAAATACTTTTATTGATAGTGATTTTATATTTATTATAAGGTGTTTAATAGGGGTAAATATGAAAAAATAGGGTTAGTTTGAAAGTAAGTAATTATTTTATTTGAGGTGAGATTTAATTAAAAATATCTTACATTTTTTAATGGAGGGAGTACATGCTTCTTTAAATTTCGTATATTATGAGAGAGAGAGAGAGGATTCAAGAAATGGAAGTGAAGTTACCAACGAGAGTGACAAGGTCTTGAGTGTTGAGGCCCTTCGCAGCAAACTTCTGCTTCTGCTGATGAACAGATTCTGAAGGGCCTGGTAAGTTTTCTGCATCAGAAGCCTTCGATACTCTCCCATCTCTTCTCCCTGTTGGAACTTCCCATCTTACCCCTCCACTCTGCATTAATTCCCAACCACACACACTCAATTCTTATCCATCTATATATAATTCAAACAATGCCAAATCACTGTCATTGTATGCGTAACTAATAATTATTCAGTTACCAGAACCACAGAATCTCGAGCAGCAAGGGCAAGTATGTCAGCACAAGACACCACACCAGGGCATGCAGCCTCCAGCTGCTTCTTGGCGTCGTCGACGACCTCAAACCCTCTCAACCCGCCGTTCGCGCTGGCCGTTTTCTCCGTCCCGGATCCGTCCACGAGGACCGACGCATCGCAGCCTCGGACGAAGCAGTCATGGAAGTGCAACCTCAGTATGCCAGCGGCCACGGAAGGATCAGAGTTGAAATGAGCTTGAACCGTAGATCTCACAATTGACTCTGCTCGTGGGCACGTGGTTGAGTAAAACCCTAGACGAGTCCCTTGGCCATGCACATTCACAAGCAAATCATTAGCTAGCATCACAACGTAAAACACTGAGAATAAAAACCTTGTGTTAAAGAAACCACCCTCCATTTTAAGGAACTATGTGATCTGGTTTTGAAGGTTTGAACTCAGTTATGGTGAGATAAGATTAGTGAGGTTGGGGGCATGATTTATAGGGTTTTTTGGGGGGATTTAATTATTGGGGTCAAAACTAGATAAACAATGAGTAAGAAAAGACGGCTAATGTTAACAAAACCAAGTGCGATGTACACGGTGCTGCGGTCCCTAATGTCCCACCCTCTTCATTTGCATACTGTTATTGGTCATTAAATTAATCAAAGCACTAGTTCAATTAAAATTATAGTTGAACTATAATTAAACTAGTCATGACCAAAATATTTCATTAAATTGATCATAATATTAGTCCAACAGTTTATTAGGTTAGACCAGATTTTAATATATACAATACTTTAGAGTCCATAAATAGTTGTACAATTGAATATTTTTTCCCCTAATAATGTTGCATAATAGTATATAACAAGGTAGAAAATTCAACCGGGAGAGTAATGCGGTGATGTGGTCCCTAATGTCCACCCTCTTCCTTCTAATTCCTATGATATTTTGCCCTTATTTTTTTTTAACCTTGAATTTTTTTATCCCATCACTTGGTATCTTGGAAACCTATAGGAAGGTATTATCACCATCTGTCAAGAATAATCCAAACCCCACTATGTGTGACCATCCTTACCAAAGATGGCCTCACGAATATTTGGAATCCTAGATAAACTAATTCAATTGGTCATACCAACTGAACCATTTGGTTTTTTTTTTTGGTTAAATTACAAGAACACCTGCTATAAGCAATATCAAACTAGCAAATCTCTAATAAAAGAAGAAATAGATATTTAATTCAGAGTCAATCCGTAGTCCTACAATATAATTGAGCAGCTTTTGCTCCTAATATTGGACATTTTGTATATAAAAAGGTAGAAAATTCAATTTCTACTGTATAACATTTTATTTTTTTAAAATCAAAATGCTATACGTTAAATTATATAATTGGGCGCTTTTAGGGATGCCGATTTTATTTTTTATTTTTAAAAATGATATTAGCTAGAGGGGTGGAGGAATAGACAACACCATTCTCAATATATGCATGCGTGAAACGATTCGAAAATTAAAATTTGGAAGTTAATTTGAAGACAAACTCAGACAATGATGGGGTCAAGTGGGGTTTAGCAGCATTTAGTATGATGTAGATTGCATCGATTTAAACTCGAATGATATTATAGGTTAATAATTAGAATTTTTTATGTATAGCATAAAAAATCGAATTATTGTTAGCTAGAAGGAGTATACCTCACATGAATCAAAGTCACACTCGACAAAAGACATTAATTACATGGATATATTGCAACTAAAGAAGTTAAGGTCGAGAATTTATTAAAAGTATATAATAATTAATGAGTGTGTGTGTGTGTGTGTCTAAAATATACAGGAACATGGAATTAAAAAGAAGGAAAACGATGGGTGGGTGGGTGGCATTGAGAATAGGATATAAATTTATAGGCTCACAGCTTCTGAGCAGTAGTGAAGTGGGAATTCTATTACGTTTCTAGGGCTTTGGCTGCATTATGGGGACTGGGGACTCTTCAATAATATTCGGTCTACTTTTTTTTTGGAGATACTGAAAACTGAATTGGTTGATCAACTGATCAAAATATTAATTCAATGATTAATGATCAAAATTATTGCAATCCAATTGTTCTTGATATTATTGTTGAATAGCATCAAAATTAATAAAAATTAAATTTTACAATAAAGCATAACCTATGTCATCATTCTAAGAGTTAATGGATTAATTACTTGAATTAGAATTATAAAAAATAAAATAATGGTGGGATTTTTTGTGATGAAATTAATTTAAAAAATAAATTAAAATTAAATAATTAAAATAAGTTTAATTGAAAAAATTATCAAGCATAAGCAGCACAATCAATCATAACCCAATCACTTTAACTTAATCTTCCTCATACATAAAATAAATTAATTTTATTTAATTTTATTATTCTAATTTTATTATATAATTCACAAGTTATCATTCAAAAATTAAACAAGAAATTAAGTTATGAATTAATTAAAATCTCTTTTATCCCACAACCTAATAATTCTTTTAAGTTAGTCATATAAGAAACAAAGCACGAGTAATCAATCAAGCCAAGTCGAATTACTCTTATAATATTATATCAATCGATTATAACAAGTAAAATTTTAGATAAAATTTATAATTCAAAAATCATGTAATAAAGCTACTTTAATCAATAATAATAATTAGAGTATAAAATTTAGAGGTAGAGAGAAGAAAAATAAATTAAAATAAAGTTAAAATAAAATCTGTTATGAATATATAAAATTTTAATTAAAGTTTAAAATTATAATTTATGATTGATTACACTAAAAGCATTAGATCGCATAAAATTAAAAATCAAACAACAATAGGTGAACGAATTCGCGCGCGCGCCTCTGCCCTCCAATTCCCTCTTTCTTAAAAGACATCTCCTTCATGCGCTCCTGTGCGTGATTTGTACGGCTAGAAAAAGTAATAACAAAATGATAAAACTGCCCTAAAAAACTCTAATTAAAAACTATACTGAAAATCTAAAATAAATTTAAATAAAATTTTTATGATTTAATTCTTTATTTAATTCTCACATTCTTCTATCCAAAACAATCTTCATCAATATTTTTAAATTAAATCTAAAAAATTTAGACAAGTAAAATAAAATTAAATAGTAACTGTATAAAAATATTAAAAATATCATTTATATTTTAAAATAAAAAATTTAAATACTTAAAATCTTAAAATTAAAAATTGACTAATAAAATTAAATAATATTCAATGACACTTAATTAGCCTCAAATAAATATTTAAAAATTTAAATTAAAAATAATAAAAATATATAAAATTATTAGGCATTAGTTATCAAACCAGTCAATCATGATAAAACTGCCCTAAAAAACCCTAATTAAAAACTATACTGAAAATCTAAAATAAATTTAAATAAAATTTTTATGATTTAATTCTTTATTTAATTCCCACATTCTTCTATCCAAAACAATCTTCATCAATATTTTTAAATTAAATCTAAAAAATTTAGACAAGTAAAATAAAATTAAATAGTAACTGTATAAAAATATCAAAAATATCATTTATATTTTAAAATAAAAAATTTAAATATTTAAAATCTTAAAATTAAAAATTGACTAATAAAATTAAATAATATTCAATGACACTTAATTAGCATCAAATAAATATTTAAAAATTTAAATTAAAAATAATAAAAATATATAAAATTATTAGGCATTAGTTATCAAACCAGTCAATCATGGACAAATCATTTCATTGCATTAATCAAGACATAGTTTAATATTGCTGGTTTAATTGGCTGGATTAACTTGGATTTCAATACCATAACTTTTTTAAGTCTTTAGTAGTCAAACTACAAGTTTGAAATTGTATATAGAGTATCAAATTGCATAGAGTGTGAATTTGTAGAAGTACAGTTGATTTTATAACTTTTACAATTCACAAACTAATTTGCGCCATAAATTATGTTGAGAAGAAATTAAAAGTAGAGAATGTGATGTGTGTGTGTGTGTGTGTGTAAGAAAACTTAACATCATAATCATATACTAATTATACTTGTTTGCTTTTCCGGCGTCATTCTCTTTGCGAGTCACTTTTTAATTTTTTATTCGCCCTTTCAAATACAAATAATTATATAAAATACAAATTCATTTTGGCAGGAACTGCAATTTGTCAAAGTACATATATATATATATATATATATGTCTTTCACATTATCCTTTTTTCTTTTTTTTTTTGAGTCTTTACTTTCATTTTCTAACACCACAAAACAACACCAAGATCACCACTTGCATGTATTATTGTGATGTGTAGGGACTGATCCTCATCAACTTAACGATTCTGGCGGCTCCTTCATTCTTCAGTACACTGATTCTTCATTCTTTTGTAGTTAGATTAAATTAACTCAGATTAATTAATAATCCAATAAATTAAATATTAATTATTAATTAATTATTTTGTTTGACTTAAGCTACGTTTGCCATATTTTTTTCTTTCAAATATTTTAATCACAACACGGTAAACTTTCTTCATCAAGTGCCCGTCATTTATGCTTCTCCTTATAGTCACGAGAACCATATATATAATTTAATGACAAATAATAAACTACACGTTTCCTCTGGTCTGCATTCAACTTACTATATCAGCATCACCCATATTAGGAAAATTTATTTATTTATTTATTTTCTAAAATCTCGTGAAAGTTTAACTTATTTTTCGAATTTAATTAATTTGTACTTGTCTATAACTAATCTCATAATTTCTCATAACATAAGTAATTACGTAATCCACATTAATTAGCATAAAGGTAAAAATGGAAAGATATTTGTTATAAAACTATATAAAATGTCTTATATTTCGAAGCCACGATAGTTTATGGATAATAATGTCCTATATTATGTAGCAGACAGCGTCTGTTTTACTAAGAGCACTAGCGATTAGCGAAGACTAGTCAAAGAATTGAAAATGAAAGCTTATTATATTCTTATTCTTTTAAAAAAATTAGTAAAATGATTAATATATAATATAAAAATAAAAAAAACTTATATACTTAACCTTATATACTTAATGTGTTCGTTTTTAATTAAATCAAGATATGTAAATTTTATATAAATTATTATTATTATTAATTTTATTAACACATTAAAATCTATTTGTCATGATTTGATTGGATAAAAATATATTAAGTATAAAAGTCTTATCCTATAAAAATTATATCAAACGGTTCTATTCATGAATGATAAATAATGCAATTTAATACTCATATTTTGTGTAATGCAAGGAGCCCACATATATAATTATATTATTAAAAATTGCCTGTAAGATATACTTATATAGTCAAGATGATCATTTTAATACATGGTTTTAATTTTTTTTATTAACTATACAAAATGAATTTGTGATAAATCAACGTTTGATCTTTTATAAATACAAATAAAATAGTATCCTTGTGGAATTACCCGATATTTAGTTTTTGTAAATTATGTCAAAAATATTGCTTTAATA